GCTCTAATTCCGACTGGGCAGTTCTTTCGCCATATGTAGTTCCGGCAGAGGTGGTTGTTGGGGAGTATGCCTGGCCGTTGCTATCTGGCTGCGGACGAGGGTAGGGCTCGCCTGCACGTGTGGGCTGCGGTGGACGCCGGCTGCCCTTCTTCATTGCTCGTTTCTTCTCACCCGGCGGGAAGGGCTTGTCCAGCTCTCGATAAACCAGAAAGTTGCCGAGAATGCGACTGGGACTCCATGTCACTCCATCTGTCCATCGTTTGATACCCGAGGCATTCTCTTCGTATATGAAAACACTACCACTGCGGACCAGCTGGGCCCTTTCACGGTCATGCGGTCGTCGCGGGACATGGTGAAGGACGCCCGTAAGGCAGGCTTCGAAGAGGATCAAGGCATCGTGCGTGGAAGCCACATAACCTGTGAAAGTGGGCTCCAACACAGCTGTAGTGCCGTTACCCATAGTCGAAAGTAGCAGATAAAGACCGCAGCGCGGCCAGGGTAGACGACTGTAGCTTAATCCGTAGAGAGTTAGGAGAAGAGGGAAAGTAAAGTGTAAAAAGGGTAAGACAAAGTTGGGAGCTGCACTGCAAGGGCAAGGTTTCTGCGTCGCACACTATCGCGTTGTTATTCCAGTGCCGCTCTGGGATCAACAATGAAGGTTTGTTGCTTGCCGGTGAGTTTTCGCGAACCCTGTCAGCTTTAACTTGAGCTTCGAGCCAGCTGATGACGTTGACGAGATGTATATATGCGGAAGAGAAGGGAGAGTGTGTGGCGAGATCGAGGGACGACTATTAGTAATCCCGAGCTTATGACGGCGAAATTCCAATTCGCCTAGAAGCAGCCAGGGCGAGAGGGAGACTCTCAAGGGTCACTTGAGGTGTGTGATCGAGGTGCGCGAGACGTTGAGTGTGAGCGTGTGGTTGACTCGCTTTCGGTCGAGGGCTCGTTCCCCACGTATGGGTGAAGTCGATGATGCGGTCGAAACTTTCCTTCGCCTCCCCTTTCGCCTTCCTCGAGCTGCGCGATGCAGAGCTAGAGGTTCTTTGCTAAAGTTTAAGGATCGACAGGAAACACGGGGACGCTGGAAGTCTCTTTTTTTTTTTTTTTTTTTTTTTTTTTTTTGGCTTTTCTGCTGGAAGAGAGTTTATGGAGGGGTTGCGTTGTTTTGGAGCTGGTGGGCAAGATCTTATTTTTTTTTTTTCCACTTCACCCTTTCCCACTCACAAAGGCCCTTTTCTTATTTAAAAAAAAAAGCTTTGAGCACTAAACCAGAGCCTTGGGTCTAACCAATATATAGAGTTCCAAGGACCTCACCGTGCGATCAGGGTCGTGGCCCTTTGTGGGTCGGGGAGTAATCGACTGGCGATAATCGACTGTGATTGGGGGTGTGGCAGAAGCAGATGGAGATGGTTGGTGAGGTCCCACGGTCGAGTCTGAGGAAATTAGCTCAAACTCTACAGCTGACTGGTGGCTCTCCGGGTTTCTGTTGTTCTCGCCACGAATCACACAGCCCGAATGCGTAATAATCTGGTGACTGCCGGTGCAAATAGGAGGCGAGAAGGGAAGCTCCGGATACGCTCACACGAAGAGAAACCCGGCCTCTCCCCGATTGCTGCGGTTAGCCGGCGAATTGCTAAACGCTCCGTTCGAGACCAGCTTCGATATCTCACTCTCTACGAAAGCTTGGGGGGTGGAAGGAAACACTTGGACCAGGTTCAGTAGATTGAAAGTTAAACAGCAGCCGCCAAAAACGTGACAAGCAAGGGGCAGCGAAAAGCAATAATATAAAACTGGCCAAGGTAAGATTAAAATGTTCTAAAGAGAAAAAAGAAATAATCTTCGCAGCGGTGGGAAAGACGCTAAAATAATACTACCAAGGAGCAGGGTCAAGTTAAAAATTAGAACAAATCAGCAATTAGCAAGCAGATCGAGGCGTGCTAATTAGCTGCAGCGATAAAGTTATTTGAGGATTATCCCTGAAGGGGCCTGAAGAATCGACGATGCCTGGTGATGATGATGACCAGGAAAATAATTCATGCCCTTGGCCCTTGTTCAGGGGGTGGGAACACTGCCAATTGTCAACCTGTTCTTCACTGGGATGCTTGGCTTCTAGGCTGATTGCCACTGCGGAGTGCTGCAGAGTGATGAATTCGACAGGCAAGGCTGGCAAGGGACCGCGGATGGGAAAGAAAGGGGGAAGGTTTTGGCAGTAGAGATCCCCAAAGAAAAAAAAAAAATAGCACTAATCGAAATACAGAGTGGTCATGGGAGTCAGAGGCGCGGGAATGTACGGCTGGGCGAAGTGGGCCAGCAGGATCTCAAGAGTGAAGATACAAGAGGGGAAAAGCCAAAAAAAAAAAAAAAAAAGGCGGCGAGACTTGGTTGGATGTTCTCGCCAGCATGGCGCAGGTGTCGACATCCAAGGGGAGCCGCAACAGAAACCCACGATTTCACTCACAAGAGTCAAAGATGGTTCCCTCCGATTGAAAATTGCCCGACAAAAGCTTCCGAGAAAGAAACACCTTGTTGATTTATTTTTCGGGACGAATAGGGTGGTCAGGGATGGGGCTGGTAGGGCGGAAAGAGGAACTGCCCGCTAGCGAGCGTCAAAAACAATAGTCACAAAATGTTCTCGTGTCAATACCTACAACACTCCACGACTAGGACTGCTAATGGCATGCCGTCGGCTCTGGCAGGAATACACTCATGACCATGTTGGACAAGCCAAGAGACTTGAGGAGGATTAAAGAATGATACTGCCAACATATAATATTGATATTAACAAGGACAGCTCCCACAATGGGGTTCTCAACACTGTCCACCGTACTCCGTACCGCGCCTCAGAAATACGGACGGACGTGTGGTGGATTACGTTTGATCGTCGAATGGTGCCGCCCGTGGAGAAGAGGGGTGGTGCGTGAGCGTACATAGGTGTGCGCGGCGAGAGGAAACCCTGTCTGTTTTCACCAATCACAAGAAGGATATGCTCCAGTTGGTTGGGAGGGAAGTTATTCTCCCGAGATTCCAGCCGGCGAGAAAAGGACAGACTGAGGGGAAGAGACGCGGGATTCGTTGTCTTGCTGGAGACAACAGAGAAACCATTCGCCTGGCAAATGAGGGAGAAGATCACCTAAGTGATTGACGTGATAGACTGCTGCAAGATAAACGAAGCCACGCTGGACAACAATCATAATGATGTCAATGATGGATGAAAACGGATACTGGTCTATAACTTTGTTTCGTGCTCTTTTTTCCAAGTCCCACAGCGCATAAGCCACATCCCTGAGTCGAACGATGAACGGGCCAGACTGATCGAACTGCGTTCAGAGTTCAGTTTCATGCTCATCCCCAGAAAGCTAAGATTACCCGATATTCAGGGTCCGAAAAGTCAACTTTAAAAAAAAAAAAGTTGCAGAGAACATATTATGAATTGCCGTCACGAGCCCAAGAGCAATCGTGATGGAAAATATTGGTAAAAAGAGGTAAATAACCATCGCTGCAAAGGTGCCTGTCCAGAGGATTTGCAGATCTACGCACTTCCAAAACACTAGTCAACTTGTGTATGGGACAAGGCGTGTTGATTCGGCGTTCCCACGGAGTAAGACGGGGTCGGAATAGTTGGCAAAAATAACACTGTGTGATTGAATGTCTTGGATCGTTCACCTTGGTGTGCTGGCAATTCGCTAAAAAGGCGCCAATTAAAAATACCCAGGGGGGCCCTTCCCTTGCAATCTCTCTCGATAATAGCAGCTGTACGGAGTATCCACGCAAGACATTGACTGAATGTGCTCTACTCTACCACATTGGCCGATTGTTGTTTGCGCTGTCGGGAGTGCAGCAAACCTCCCGAGGACAGATTTGAGCCCTCAGATCCATGGTAACAAATGGAAAGCCGGGTCCACACGGCAGTCAGAGAGGACGGGCTGCACCATGCAACCGAAACACCGCAAGAAAAAAAAAAAAAAAAAAAGGAAAGAAAAGGCGCAGGGATGCAGGGAGGAAACAAAAACAAGCCTAAAATTAAGCATGATTCTTGTCCACAGTCGCAACGAATCCAAGGAAAGTCGGGTAACATTGTGCTTTGGTAACCCATTCACCCGAGCGAGACGAAGGTAGGGCGCGCTTCTTTTTTGTTATCTTGCCCAACCAATGATTAACAGTAGACCCCAACCGGAACTCCATCGCCACGCCAGACAAATTTGAGACCTCATATTTACGGAGTTGGGACGGAGTACGGAGTACACGTGCATACATATGCATCCGGACATTCCGCAAAAGCGCCCACGAAAAAAGAGAACCGCTCTGCGCTGTGTTTTTCCTTCCACGCACCTTGTCTTCTCTGTTCCGTAATTTCACGATTTCCACGGGACAAACAGCACAAGTAATTAGTTAGCCGAGCGGTGATATCAAGTATGTTCTCCGCCCGGAGTTCAGATCTCTTCATTTCCATGATCCGGCCAAGCTGAGCCTGGAAGAGGCCCCAAACAAAGTGATCACGAGACACGGTCAGGTTCAGGTCAAGTGTTCTTCGTACTACGGACCGCGTTGCTCTCATATTACATCCTCTGCACGCCTGCACTCGCGTTTGCAGCGGGGCCGGTGTGTAAAAGATCCACAGGAATGATGCGATGTACGGAGTAGCCTTGGGGATGAGCGCGGCTGTAACCTTCGGATTCTTTTTCAACGGCCGCCGCCCTTGTTTCAACGTTAATTCTGATGGAATTTGCAAAATGATGGCTTGGTGGCATGGACACGGGAGAGATATAACTGTTACTTTACTCTTTCTCTCCGTTTCTGATCAAAGCGTCCTTGGCACAAACAAGATTCTCCCTGGTCTCGATATCGATGGATATCGAAAGCCACCTACCTCAATCCAAACAAACTCAATACCCACGTGGAAGCAGTCCTTTGTAGGCCAAAGTGAAACCCTCTGGTGGCTATTAATAGCAGGTGGTGGTCTCTTCCTAACGATAAGACTATCTCTGATCCTTCTCTATCAAATGGTTTCGGCGATCAAGGCCCATGATGAATGAACATCCCAAAAAAGCCCGCAAATTTCCACTCTTCGAGCCGATTCATCATCAGCCGGGCCTGGAAAGGCATCTGAAGGCAAGCGCCGCTGCTCACTGGTCGTTGATCGGCCCAACCGGCAGCCCGGCAAGGAAAAGCAATTATAACCAGTTAGTTAGTACTACCTACCCACGATGCCAGCGACACGAGTTCGGAGAAAGCTGACCAAGCGCCTGTGGGTTTGCTCTCAGGGTGACTTAGGAGCCATGAGAGCGATCGTATCGAGGAGGTGCTAAGCAAGCTTGATCGGCTCAAATTCAAAATCATAACCATAACCACTCTGTTGGGAATAGGGCAACTTCGTCGCTCTGCAGCTTGATTCTCTTTCTTTCGGGCTGCCTAACCACAGTGCGGTTCGTCAAATACTTGGTTCTCTCAACATACGGAGTACACACGGAAAAAATTCCTTTTCGTCCCTCCCGGTAATAAGCATGGCAGTCAATAACTAACTACGGAATAGCGAGCTACCCGGCTGTGTTAGTCCACTTTGTTTTGCGACTCGAATGTCGATCATGTCCTCCAGTGGAAGACGAACTCTCTCTTCAGTACGGAGTACGGAGTACGGAATAAAACATGGGTGAAGAGAGCCACAGCGAGACCTCTCCACAAGTTGCTTCGCAGGAATGCATGCTGGTGGACAAGGGCGAGTTTCACATTTGAGACGATTAACCCTATATCCCTGCCGACAGGGAAGACACCTTGAATGAAACCATCTAAATATATCGACCCCCGCCCTTCGTTCCGTCTAGTGCCGTATGCTGCTGACTATCCCATTTTCCCGAGGTCCATTCTTCTCATGCTAGAGACGAACTCCTATCATTTGAATCCCAGGATGTCGTCTCCAGCCAGTTCCAGGCTCGAGGAAGGGAACTACAAACTAATTACCTGGAAAACTAATGAAACGCTGCAGGAGCTGCAGATTCAGAGCAAGTACACACTCCATATCATCACTACGGCCTTTCAGTCCTGGATTAAATTCTGCCGGGTATGCAAGGACCGCGTAGAGTACGCTAGACGGGGAGGAGTACCATCAGGCGACCATTTCTCCGGAATCGGGTTCCGCCGTGTAACACATGGCTCTTTGACTCTTCTGATCAGTGGTTGGGTCCAAGCCACACAAATATCCCTTCTTTCCATGAATACGCTAAAACACCCAATCCTGCCGTCTGGAGGGAGGGAAAAATGAGTCCTTCGTCCTCCGTCCACTCCGGTTCTACTCTCCTTGTGCCCCGTAAAAAGTCTCAAGGGAGACAAACTTCTGCCCCTGCATGAGCGTTTTCTTTAGCCCATGATGGTGCAAGGATTCCTCAGGAGATTCACATGCAGAGATAATATTCTCTCCAGAGGGGTTTGGCGAGGAGCAAAAGATTCGGGGTGCTTGCTTGCTGATTCGCTGTCTTGCTAGCGTTTGGGTTGCTTGGTAAATGTTCCGAGTTCTCCTGCTCCATCTTCCGAATTCTTTTTTTGTCATTTTTGTTGGATGCCACTATCTCGGTTGGCTTTTGCGACCGCCGACGCATGCCATTCTTTCGATTTTCCTTTATTCGGACATCTTGCTAGTGACCTGGATTTCACCGTTGCGACCAAGTGGCCGGGTACGTATCGTCACACAAGATTGGTCCTTTCACCAATATTTTTTGGACAAGGAATGAAACCACCATTCCACCCCTCCAATCAGCGTGCTGTTCAAAAATTGACAAGTATGATATGCGGGATATGAAGGAGAAGAGAGCAATGGAGCATTTTGAAACTGAACCAGCTGCACGCCTCGAGAATATCGTCCACGCCTCCGACTCCGTACAGAGTCTGGGCCAAGTGGTCCCAAATAAAATACGTCAGCATGTCTTGGGCCAGAACCTGATGCTATCGTGCGTGCGCATAGGGCAAGCTGAAGGAATTATCGGGTTGACAGGTCATATTTTCAAGGCTCCGCATATGCACAAATCGAAGTGGACAGGATAAGTTGAACTCTGATTGATTGAAGCTTAAACCACCTGAGCGGCTGCATATGTATGCATAATGTATGAATGCACGTCGAACCAAGCAATCAACATTAAGCTTACTCTAAATATGCTTTGTTGGCCGAATTCTCACGTACATGTGGAGTGCGGAGTACAGACTTCATTTGATCTGCTCCTTTATTTTCCCTCCCCCAACGGCGGATTTGCTTCGCAAGGTTTTGAAAGACGAGTCCACTCTCGCTATTGATTCACCTGGGCAATTGCGATGACTCCATACGACAGTGGAGCTGATGGAAGCATGAAAATGGCCGCCATGCCGGAGTTGAGCCTGTGTATCAAATCAAGTGAGCAGTACGGAGTACGTATCTGACCTATCCTCCCTGTTTGGTCTCAAGAGATCAGCAACCTGTCTCTTTCAAAGGCATCTTCTACCGTGGAGGCTGGAGTTGGACTGCGGGAGAAAAGCGGCTTGTTTTCATATTGTCCACAGATATGTTTCATACTTATTACTCCGTAGAGAATATCCTAATAATCCTCCCGTGACCGTCATATTTCTGATGTGTGCAAGCCTCAAGGATGACCTATCATATTGAAATATGGTGCAGGCGAGAATCGATGTTCCGCGTGTCTGGAGGGGCTGCAACAATAATTACTCTTGGGCTCGATGGAGAACTCCCGTAGGGCGCCCGACTATCCCCCGAGCCGGGCCATACTGCAATCAAGAGTAGTTTTCGGGTCGAGGACGAAATGGATCAGTCATCTCTTGGATTCTCGTGGCACACCAGCGTTCCTCAAAGAGGGCTTGTTCGTACTTATGCGTCCAGAGTACGGAATATATGATTGATCCTACTCGCCTAGGACATTCTTCAATTTTTTGGGGGTGTCATTGCTCTGTAGCTCTTTCTAAAGTGTACAGCTCCAAACAAAAGCCAAAAGAGCTGACAACAATATCCAGCGAGTTTGGTGCACAGTTGATGGTTAGTCCCTGTCGAGCGGATGCCCCAACACTTTCGGAATATCAATCCAATTGTCCAAACTCTGTCCCTCACGCACCACTCATTGAAATGGTTTTCAGGGGTATGCCTGCACCCTTCATGCCAGGAAATTAAAGCGTCGCATTCCAACTAGTGGTCGCCGATCCGCACATCGGCTATCTCCTATTCTTCAGCATGAGTAGCGCGGCTAAAGGGAGGGGGAATTCTGCATTCATCCAAGGTGCTGGCATACAAAAGAAAAAAGAAAAGAGGGGTGTTAACAGCAGGAAAGGATGCAGGCTCTCCTGGCGTTGACCCGCGAACTCCCGCTTCTATTCACCGGAGTAATGGGCTTTCGGAATTTGAAATCCCGTTTTTGTTAAGGGATGATATACGCGTACAGACGGAAGAGCGTGTGGCCGTATGAAGCAGTGGTGAAGTGACTTACCAGCGCTCTTGGAGGAACCGCCACAATCAATTGACTGTATCATCTACAGCATATATGGCCGCGAGGAACAGAGCAGTTCGTCACAATACTTGACGTTATGCCGATAGCTACATGACCCAGACTTCAGCTAACAAAGGACGGAGAACATTCGAGCTACACCTCGCTATGACTACGTGCTTTGGACAGAAGCAACCTGTCATCCCTGATTAGCAGGCTTTGGATTCGCTTTGCACACATACCGTTGCCGAGCTTGATGTCCAGCTTCCTGTTGGACTTTCCCTGCTCCGTGTGGTCTCCTCAACATTGACCCGGACGCTTTTTACCAGCCTGAAAGCCTATTATATGTCAACCTCCTCCATTCTTGCGAGATAAACGAAGGTTTCAGTCTCTATTCCTTGCAAGTCATTTCCTTCATATTCTTACTGATATAGATGATGAAACTTTGCTTGATCCGCTCATCCAAGACGTCAGTCACAATACTTTTGGTTGTAGCTACACGCCGAAGGCTCGATCCAGAAAACACTGATGTCTAAAGGAATCGCTGCCTGCTTCAAGATTTCCCACACAAACCGTAATCCCTTGAGTATTGGATTCCGTCCCGAGATTTATCGGGATCAAATCCGGGTTCTCTGGCCCTCCCGTCCACTTCTTTGAGGACGTATTTCTTGGGAATTGTGTAGAGTCCATGAGGTGAATATGGCAGATATGATATAGGAGACCTAAATTGTGTTATAATAATGCTCTTATTTACCTAGCAGCAGAGGCGTTTTCTGCCGAGCAACAAAGTAGAGTGGGACAGTGAATGAATTAGACAGTGACACAAACGAGTCAAGCTCTGGTAGATGGCGAGGATGAGTGAGGACAGGGAGAGGAAATGTGAGGAAGACGTTCTGCAATGGCGAGGCTCTTGCGCAAGTCCAGTTCCATATTAAGCACTCAAATGTTATCTCAGTGCTGGGTATAACTCTACTCAACTTGGAAATCCTCAAGATAAAACCACGGTCCATTGCCAGGACCATACTTAGGTGCAGGGACTTTCATCGGAACCGGTACAATGCCCCCGAATATTCTATCGATATCATCGTCACTACTCTCTCTGACATCCTCTTCAGTTGTACTTGGCTTCCCATCTCGAATCGGAATTATGACACCGCATTCCCAATTCCTGCAATTGAGTTTAGGCTTGGTGGTTGAACGGTCAATAACTAGACGGCCCCTGAAATAATGGCAGAGTTGTTAGGAACAGTAAAATGACAGTGGAAACATGATGGTTAACCTAAAATAGGGCTGACTTACCATGCGCTCTCTGATAAGTTCGCACTTCCGACGTATGTCCAGCCCTGATATGCAGTTGTATTTGCGTCACCAATGATTTTACCATTGTCTGGCCTCACAAAGATTGTCTAGAAGTACCGTTTAGCAAGGAGACAAGAACTATAAATTCTGCAAAGAACTTAAGATGTACCTTGCTATGCATCAAAATGCCATGTCGGCGGCTCAAGCTATCTCTTAATGTATGGCGTGGAAATTCCGCCCGGTTATACCACTTTGATTGGAAGCAAATGGTGCCAGCGCCTGATGGACGGGCCCTGGACCCCTGCACCGTTTTCAAGGATGGGAAGTAAATAAGGAACCTATCTTTCCATTCTGCGCCGTCCGCCTTTTTTACGGTGACGCCCCATTTATCGCTTGGAAACGTCTTAGACGTGCGTAAAGTGAGCTCTTTTAGCCCATTATCACCTAGCCTCCATGTCAGATTATAGGGCTCTTAGCTGAAAACCAGCGAAGGAGCAGGTGGTCAATCACCTTGAGCAGCCAGATACATGCTTCGCATAAATTGATCGTTCAATGAGCCCAAAGACGATGTCTGTAGATAGATTAGTGGTCAAAAGCAATTCAATCGATTACCGCATTGCTTACAATATAATCCAACTTCAGGGGTTGGGGCGTTTCGAGTCCCAGCATTGTAACTGCTTTTCCTAGCCCACAGACTCCGGTTTTGCCCCAATATGACCCCGTATGGGAGCCGCCTCTGTTGGGTGTTAGTAAAAAGAGCGGGAAGGAGACAGCAGAGGCTCACATTGTGTGGACGAACGCAAAACCTGCCGTCTTGCCAAAATCAAATTCGGAAAGCTTTGCAATGATTTTTTCGTGTAAGGCTGATGCCTTTAAAAAGTAGACTAATTCATCAAAGAAAGGCGTCGACGTCTTCTCCTGGGAGCCCAGAATTTTTCGAGGGAGATCTATGAGGAATAGAAGCTGTCACGTTGTTAGCAAGAGCCAACAACCAAAGACAATGCTGGATATCCTAGCAATTACATTTTCTATAATACCACCTTGCTCTCCCCAATCATACGGCACCAGGTTGGCACTGGGAACAACAAGTCGTAGATGGTTAGGGTGAAATAGAAGCATTAGCTTTGAATGCATACAATTAACCTGTGGACCCATCGGCACAAAGCACAGGCGAATACTGGGGATATCTGCGAAGTCCTTTTGTGTTTGTTGTTTCTAGTGATATGCCATCAGCAGGGAAATATCATGAGGAATTGTCCAGTGAGTAGGCATCTTACCTCTTCCTCATACTTATGTCCCATAACGAGAAGAAATCTAGTTTTCTTAACATTGAACTTTGTAAATAGCCAATCCATATTCCATTGAAATGAGCTCAGAACTGCAAGTTCAAGATCATCTTTCTGGACTACCTCTTCAAATTTGATATCGTCCTCTCGCGGATAGTTGAAGGCCCACGTCTTCTTTATGGCACCGTTGGGAAACTGTAAGGAAGGATCAGGTGTATTTGAAGCAAGTGGCTTTGATGCTGTCGCCACCGCTTTAGCATGGTTCTGTTGGTTAGATTCTTCAGTCAGGTCGATTGGCGCAGATTTCACCGCTTTAGCATGGTTCTGTTGGTTAGATTCTTCAGTCAGGTCGATTGGCGCAGATTTCACCGCTTTGGCTTGTCTTGCCGGTGAATCTGCCGAAGAGACATCCTCCGCTTTTCTCTTCTTTGCCAGCCTCGCAAGTCTTTCTTCTTCCTGCTTTTTTCGATCCATCCCACGAAGAGAGAAAGCCCCGGAGGAGTGCTCTTTCGATGAAGGACTGGAGCCCTTATTGTCTTCGCTTATAACGTGATTCTCTCGTTGGACTTCTCTGGCATGGTGACGTTGAGGTGGTGATAGTACGAGAGCTTGATCCTGCAATGATAGCGCAATTGCCCTTCGCAGGTCTGGATCGTCAACCGAGCTTACTGAATCCTCTACGGCATCATTGGGAGAATTGCCCTCTGGATCACCAGTAAGATCCACCACGTCCCTCTCCATAGCCAAATATTTGGAGTGTGGTTTGATGGAATCATTTAAAGAAGCAACTAAAGCAGCATTGATAGCTTCCTCGTCATCATAATAGCCATCCATTCTGGAATATGGCTCCAAGGGGTATAATGAATATGACCTCAGGGCAAGACGCGATCTCGAAACATAGACGGCTAAACGCGTAAACAAGCGACTATGGGTTGGAAGCTTCATATAAGCTTGTCGCCGCCTGGTAGTCAGGGTAATACACTGTTCCAGCAGCGCTTCATTGTCTTGATGTTATCACGGCATCCTCGCAGACCGCGGGTCACGTGATATATAACTAAGTTGGTGGGGCCATTAACTACGGAGTACGGAGTAGTGAGTTAGCTAACTTAATTATAATTTATAATTAAGTTATCAAAGGTACGGAGTACAGAGTAGTTCCTGGAACATTTGGATGGTCCTCCTCTGGATTAACCCCAACATCCAAGTACGGTGCCACAAAAGACGTTTACTACAAGAACAATTGCTGAAAAGTATATGTGTGTATCTCCTAGCAATCTGGAGGCTTACAATACTGCTCACTAATGCGCTTGCAGTGGATCTTCGAGAGTTGATATGGCATGAAGCTTGTGAGCAAGGCGACTGAGTCTCTCCTCCTCCTTGGTAAGGCCCTGGAGAGCCGTAGTTTTGCGGATGGGGTGACTAACAAACGAGAAAGCTTTCCTAGATTATGATGTTGAACCCAGTTAAGAGGGAATGCAGCATGTTACATGGTCTTTGGCTCTGTATTCAACCAAAGATGCTATCTGTCTCGGGTTGCAGCTGTGGCGATTGCGACAGCGGCGACGAGAACTATTTAGTAGGTTTGTTATGGAGTTGATGGAGTCGTAAGCAACCATGATGGTGGTGATGGGGTGTGCTGCCCTTGCACTAATGGAAACTTCACAGCCATTATCAATAGGCTCCAATAACTTCAAAAATGGGGCTATTGGGATAAAGCCGAATATTTGTCTGAACAAGGCTTATTCACCTGCATCTTATTGAATTTATGTTGGAAGCAACCGGCTACTATATGACACCTATTAAACTCATAACTGATGAAAGTTCTCATCGTGAACTGTGCAACTTTTCAGGGTCTCATTCTGACAGAGTGGGGAAGGTTTCAATTTCTAAAGCAGATATCCTGCACGCCATCACCGTCAGATTGCATCCCCATAAAAGCCGGCGTTTCTACAAAGGGAGGAATACATTCTCTCTACTTACTCAAATTTCGGCAGTATTTCTTGACGCATGCGAGACTATATCCTCCGCTTCCTCATCCTGCTGAACTATGGACCACAGATTAAAGCACAACGTCTTCGCGGTTTGGCTTTTTTTTCCCCCTATCGACATATCCGCATAGCCCACGTACTTTTCTGACACGTCCGCAAATCTCAACGTAAACCATGCAAATCTTTCAAGTCCTTTTCTAAAAGGGAGACGATTTTATCATAGCCCGCTTGTTGGAAGTCCTCACGTTCAAGGTTGGCGTCGCGCCTGTCAAAATCGCGGCGATGCAATGCCGAACTGCATCCCCATACCGGCTTCCACCTTCCATATAAATTTCATCGACGAGTCGGTTTGCTGTCATCCAGTTGGATAACGGGTTTGGGTGACCGTCTTTGTCCATCTCTTCTGGAAGTCGGAGCTGCTCCAGCGGCTTACTGAGGCAGAGCTCAATGAGAAGCACACCGAGTGCGAATAGAACAGGATTGCGAATTACGGGATGGGTATGAGGTTCAAGCTTAGGTTTCGTCTGTTTGGATACTGCAGATGAAAGATGCCTTGTGATGAACGGTTGCCCATACACAGGCCCATCTGTACGCTGAATGAAGAGAATCTCATCCTTTTGCCACACATCCTCCAACCATGGGGTCTGATACAGTTGAAGGATACTTGAGGCAAGAATAACAGCTAGCTGTAATCGATCTGCGCGCGAAAGTCGGTGTTGAATGCCTGGATCGCAAGATATTAGCTTGCTGAGAGAAAGGACTGGCTAATCCTGCTGACCAGTGGACGAATTCTTGAGCAAATATACTCCATGTTTTTGTCGATCGATTTCATCTACCAAGAAACCAAGACAGACGTCACGTTGAGGTTACTGAAGCTTCCCTATGGCTCTGCAAAGGTCCTGAAATTGGTTCCATGTTAGACGGCTGGCCGAGCGCTTTGCGTACTACTGCTTGTGCCTGATCCTGAAGTCGGACGGACTTTCCGGCTGTTGATTTATAGCATGCCGTGGCACTTGAAGGGACACAATGATCCTGATTATCGGTAAACAGACCTCTGCCTCTTCCCATGTCCAAGGAGCAGCTTTAGATGCCCTTTTTTCGTGGGTATAAGAAAAATTAACTCAAAAACGCGGCGGCGTTGCTGCGGCCTCGTATTCTTCTTTCTGGGAATCGACGGCATCTATTCGAGCTTCCAGACGGAGATTCACGCAGTGCGACTCTACACAGCTACACTTCCATCCCGAGCGGAGAAGGTTGTAGACAACCCTAGCGCAATCTCGAACCGTCTTAAAATCCGGTGCTCGACGACATCTACAGGCTCGTGCGCCTCCAAAGCTAGGCTTTGCCTTGTAAGTTGGCTTAGTGTATAGTTGTCTTTTCGGACTCTTTCTATCAAGTCACCGTACGCAGGCCAGCTGAGGCTGAACTTCAAAATCTTGTATTGCGTCTTTAAGGTGTTGGTGTCGTTGAACTGGACCTGCGTGCTCCACTTCGTCAGCCATATATTCCACAGACTTCACTCCGCTTGAAGCAGCGCACCTGTCCGTCTTTACCAAGTTTTAATCTACGTTTGAATTCCTCAATCGCGTCATTCATATCGTCCACGGTCTGTAAATATCCGAAGTACGAGCGCTGTAACCGGTCCTTGAGCTTTCGTTCGATTGGCGGTTCTTTCCAAGCTTCTCCACCAGGACACTGAAGAAGTTGCGCAATCCTTGATGCTGGCGCGAGGCCTTCTAGCAACTCTTCACAGCTATTGCGAAATATGTCGTACTCAGTGATCAGGGCTCTAAGGAGATTCTTCAGCTCGGTTTTGTATCTCATCAATTTCTTGATAGTGGAAACACCCTTGATAAACGCCTCAAGGGCAGACACCAAAATTGGTATTGCCCCGAGAACCAGCCCAGCTACCTCGATTCCCGACATTTTACGTTTGCAAGGGGTGACTTCCCGAATACTCCGGGTGATATTAGGAGCTATAAAGGTGAGAAGCAGCTTCCAGAGAGTATCGTTTTTTGACAACAAATTATCAGTTGAAGCCCTGGGCAAAGCAAGGAAAGCCTGCCTACCTATCGCATTGGCGAATCCGTCAAGGGCATCACGGAAGTATTGATGATATCTGAAAATAAAGGAGCAAGGTTTGAAAGGAGCCTGGCCTCTCAGAGCCAGCTCAATGGCTCCCTGGCCAAGGTATTAGTGTGATCCAACGTTTGAAAGAGGAGAAGAGGGGATGCGTTTTAAAGTCTCTTTCGAAGCTCAATCGAGCAGCGAAGCACTGGGGCTACGAATGCGAGTGACGGAAAAAGAATCCATGTAACCCCGCCATCAAGTTAGATCAATCATGACTGGGTGCGTGCGATGCATCCATGACCAGCCTTGTTGGCGGGGTTCGGCCATCGAGTGCCGTTAACTTCGTGATGTTATGTTGCCAGCCGTGAATATGGCAATGTGTGGAGCCGGGACATGTATCTGCTTGCTGTCGTTGTCGATGAAAGTGATACTGCCATCATTCGCCAGGCGTTATAGATATTGATCACCGCGATATAAATAATTTCTTCGCTGCATGTCTGCAGATATGACCGAATCTTCAGCAACGACCCGCACGCCAAGTGCCGGGAGTATCGCTTTCCATGTGCAGCGCTGTCTGGTGTCTTTTTCGTTGCTGTGCGCTGATTTGTAGCCGAGTCCATTCCAAGATCAGGTCCAGCTCGCCGACGTTCGAGACGAACTGGGCCGCTTCAGGATATGGTCTGGCAATATTGCCGCCCATAGGGTAGGGCGAAGTTCACTGGACTACAGGGTACGAGATGCATCACATATCCGACAGAGAGTGGTATCACTTCTTGGGACTTGTTTGAGTTGCTAGGAGATAGTGAGTTGGTCTTGGAAGTTATATAGCTATTACTGCGTTGACACCTGGCTCACTCCAAATAATAGTGACCGCAATTGTCCGTGGCGATAAGGTCCCATGGGACTGCCTTTCGTCAGATGATGATGGTGATTCGCTAGATGAGGACGACATTGCAGACACACAGTCGACATGTTCCTCGACTAAACAGGAACCAGAAGCATCTACAGAGCTAAAACAATTACTTAATGTCTAGCGTGGTAGAGATTGTGACATGTCTACTGCGGCTTTCTATGGCCATACGCAACCCCGCTTCCCCACGATCGGATCATGAGCTCCGCCGATAACGAGACCTCTTTCTACGAAACATATGACACCATGCATGTCCGTGAAAAATTTCCGGATGCTAGCCAGTTTCTGGTCTACCGGCTGGGAAGAGCCATCTCTTGGCGCCGTCAGTATTTGAAGTATCGCGAATCACACCACAAGAAGTTATCCCATGGCATCCATCCCGACCATGATGCCGAACAAGACTCCCTGACTGAGATTGCTCGGCAAAGTACAGCTGCGTTTGCTCTTCCTAACGTGGAAGGGATTGACTTGAGTAATTTCCAGACGATGCTTGCTCAGAAACTGCGAGCTCCTTTGCTTCCACTGCAACATCTGCTAATCCAGTCAAACTGCGTCCACCGCCACTACCTGAAGAAGCGAAGAATGGCAAGCCATTCGAGTGCCCTCTATGTTTTATGATAGTTGCCGCCCGTGACCATCATTCTTGGCGGTAGGTTGATACCAAAGTGGAATTGGAGCAAGGCACTAATGGAAGTATAGAGAACATGTATACAGGGATCTCCATCCATATATATGTACGTTTGAAGACTGCGCAACCCCTGATCGGTTATTTGCGCACCGGAATGAGTGGTTTGAGCATGAAAAGCAGGTGCATATGCGCAACTGGGAATGTATCGAATGCAGTCATAAAGCTTTTACATCAGAATCAGCGTTCCGGGAGCATCTTCGGCAAAGTTATAAAAATACGTCTCAACCTAGTCAATTGACTGCTTTGATAAAAATTGCAGGAACGACAATGGAGTCCCGGTGGTACAGTGTCCCCTGTGCAACAAGAGATCGCTCTTTACCTGCAATTCCGCCGACACCTTGCGAAGCATCAGAAGCAGTTGGCACTATTTGCGCTTCCCTCAAACGTGCAACAGGATAACGATGACGGTGACAATGGCATTCCTAAACCTGAGGCCTTGGACATCGGTGCGCAAGGGTACAGTGATGATGCCGGACCTGATACTGTCACGGAAGACTCTAACTCTGACTCCGACACCGAAATATATGCCATACGCTGCGCGGGCATTCGGCTTCCCATTGTTGCGACAAGCGCCGTCGATATGGACGACTAGCGAGTGCTTATCGACAACCGGGACGCGTGGGGCCGAAACCACTGAGCCTTGGAGCTGATAGAATGCTTTTCTTCGTTGTACTTGAGGAACTCGGATGGTAGGAACTTGAGGATCTGCCGGTAGTACGGCTACGATTCTGGGTTGAAGCAAGGCGCGGACTCCGTGTCAGAGTCAGAAGCGTATTCTGAGTCTGAAGACATTATTGTTCGCCGCTCTCCTGCTTATGCAGCCACGGCTGTGCAGCTATAGAAATATCAATCGCGATGGTGATGCTCTCCGCGAGAGGTCAATAACCATGGAGACAAATAACGTGGTTGCGTTTAGCGTGTCTCCACTTCCTAGCCCAGAATATGCTTTCGACATGAAAAAGAAAACAAAAGGCTAGTGGGAGCAAACATTTTCGTTTGCCGTCAATATCCGATATGGTGTAGAGGTAACATCGCTGTCTCTCAAGAAGGTCACAGCAGCCCCGGGTTCGATTCCCGGTGTCGGAATAGCCATGAACCGAAGGGCTTTCTCTTCCTTGTTGTCTTTTTTTTTGTTCTTCTTTTTGGAAGACTTGACACTTGCTTGACACTTGCGAGAAAGCAATCTCGATATCGGTAACTTGATTGGCGAGTGCAAGCACCAGAAGAGGATCTTCATCCAGATCGGTCATTCCGCAGTCACACTTCAATCATCAAGGAGAAATGGTACTATGGGCACTGCCCTTTTAAATTGGATTGTGAACATGCGTTTCAGCCCCAGTAACCATACAGTAAGTGGGACTAGTTAGTTTACAGATAAATCGCAAGTGGTACATAATGGGACAAAATTGACACTGCGGATTATCCCCATACAGCTTGGTACAGACTCGAGCCTTGTCTGCTTGGCTTCCGCTCGAGCCACCCAAAAGCGACATGGTCAGGTTCATTAGCAGGACGAAGTAAGCGCCGCCAAGATGTGAACCGTGATATCTTCTGCGTAAACCCTCTTCTAAAGTTCAGCTGGTTGCCTATCATACTGATGTGATTGGACCATGATCCAATGAGATCACGCAAATAATCGAAGTGGAACAATGATACATACAGACTCTTGTGCCAGTGTCTAATTCTCGATCCACTCATACTGCTGTATTATCGGTTTGGAGCAAGAGTGCGTAAACCACAATTTGCAACCCAGGCATTCTTCGACTTTTTAATAAGCGCTGTAGCGGAGCAAGTCATTTCGTGTTCTTTACTCTTGCCCAATGGATTGAGAGGCTTGCTATCCCGCTGAAACAATTAAAGATGGGCGCAAAAAAATTACCATATACGAGGTGCACATATAAAGGGCAAGTCAACCAGCTCCAACTTCTCTTTTGTAACTCAATCAAGCCTTCAAAATATACCTCACTGTTACTGTTTATCGGCATATTAGTTACTTTTCTTCTGTTCGTAAAGCCTCTGAACATGTGATCGATCAAGTATGGCGTCTAGAGCGTTTTCAACCAGTGCTCGCCAGATGAAGAAGCTTGACTGGAAACTGAAAGGAACGACGGTAGATGTAACTTGGCTGATGGAACAAATCAATGACAGCGTCGACCATGTTCCTGGACTTGAGAGTGTGGTGAGCGCGCAGGTTAAGTACGGAGTAAGCACAACCGAAATGTACCATTGCCAACGACCCAGCTGACTGATGCTAGCGGTAACCCTCATCCAACGCCTGCAAAAGATGACCCATATCATGGATCTGTGGAGCTTTATAATCACGCTGGACAGCGTGTAACGTCGGCGCATTGCTATCCTAATGGATATGTCAAGTTCTCCAAGAAAAAATTCCAGAATGTAAAGCTGGTGCCGCATCCAAAAGCTCCTGTTATTCCACCAGCAAGTTCGAAACCAGATTCAGAGCCCGTCCAGTCTGGCTCAAAGTCTGATAAGAAGTGACGGGTGTGCCACTGGTATTAAGATAAGATGCTGAGGTTGGCCCAGTGAGGTTCGAATTGCAATGGGACTAAGTAGGGTGGTGACAGAAGTTGTCTCTCATTCTTTAAATTTCTGTATATGCGCGAACTTGAGAGTTTATCCATTCCTTAGTTGCTGAAAGGAAAATTGTCTTCGTTGACACAGTATCCGGGAAAACATATGTGTCTTTACCTTGCCCTCATTAGAAATAATACCATCAGGGGGGACTTTAAAAAAAAAAAATAACTATCAGGCAACGACAGTGATGTAATTTTATCACGTGATTTCCACCGGATCCTTGGCAGCGCTTATTTAAAGTTCCAGTTCGGCCCCTTCAACCACCTCTTCGCTTTTCTGACCTAGACGTTGTTATGTTTGGCTCCACCTCTATTTGACGAGCGACCACACTGAAATGCAACCTGCAGCAAGATCGGTAAGAAGTACGATGGCGCGCTTGTTTTCCTCATTTCGCAGGAAACCTCTTCCGCCCCCTCTTCCAGGACCTCTTTTACATCAAGATGAACCTGTTGATGAAGAGATCTGTCCAGGCTATAATTCCAAGAAATTCTACCCGGCAAGTCCTGGGGAGGTACTAGCCGATCGGTATCAAATCCTTGTAAAGGTTGGCTGGGGAGTGTCCTCGACTGTATGGCTTGCCCGTGATATGCGGGGGTATCATTTTCCACTATAATAGCTGCTGCCCGTTGCTAATGAGCTATATAGTGGCGAATCGGAACCTGAAAGTGTTGTAGCACTGAAGATAACCAACACCAACAAGAGTTCTGCCAAGGATGAACTTGAAATTGAAGCACATATTGCTGGGACAGATCCATCCCATCGTGGCTATCCACTTTTTCGAACATCCTTAGATTGGTTTGAGGTCAGCAGCCCAGAAGGAGCACATTTATGTCTTGCGTACGAGCCCATGAGAGAGCCAATATGGCTTTTCCAGAGGCGTTTTAAAGATGGGAGGATCCCCCTTCCAATTGTCAAGACGTACATACTCTTTCTTCTGGCAGGCCTTGATTATCTTCATGAGGCATGTAGAGTTGTCCACACTGGTCTGTATTCTGGCAGAATTGGCTTATTTGGATAATAATTGGCTAACATTATAACTTTAGATTTGAAACTTGAGAATATCATGGTTACATTTGAGGATTCGGCTGTGCTTGGTGATTTCATGAACTCTCAGTTTGATCAACCAATGCATTATAAAATTGACTCCACAGGCCGACCAGTTTATCGCTGTCACAATGACTTCGGGCCACTGAGGAAGATCAACAATATAATACCGAAAATCGTTGACTTTGGGCTAGCCACAAGACTCGATTGCGATGACTGTGGTATTTACCCTATCCAGCCAGACCACTACCGCGCACCGGAGGTTATTCTTGGTTGTGGGTGGAGAACAAGCGCGGATATTTGGAACCTGGGTATTCTCGTGCGCGATATGGTTCCGAACTTGGATTCATTATGTAACTAACATCAGTCCAGATTTGGGATATCATGCAGGGACAAGAGCTTTTCCACCAGGTTTACGATAAACAAGGCCATTATGATGCTAAAGCCCATCTCGCCGAAATGATTGCCCTGCTCGGTCCTCCTCCCCCTGGACTAATCGCAAGGACCTACTCAACGGTGGGCTACAAATTTCCTGAGCCGGTAAGGAAGGATGATGGGAATGTCTGTGAGAATTCTGAACAATATTTCGGTGGCCCTTTTTTTAGTAAAGATGGTATTTGAGGACCCTGCATGACATATGCGAGCCAATCGCCTGACTAACTAGTCATAACAGGCAAGTTTTTGCATGATGACTTGATTCCCAATCGAACACTGGCAGACACCATTCCCTCTCTTGAAGAGAGTGACAGAGAAAATTTCCTGTCGTTTGTAAAGATGATGCTTTCGTGGATCCCAGAGGAGCGAAAGACAGCGGGGGAACTGATGAAGCATCCATTTCTTCGCCTTAAATGAGCCGAGCGTGCTCGAAATTGACATTGGGTCTCGAAATCTGCGGCTAACGGATGCTTGAGTGGGTTGAAAGGGTAGTTTGTTTTACTTGATGTTGTTAGCGGAGTGTCTCAGCTGAATTTTACCCAATTCCATCAACTGGCGTCTGCCATCTTCACTTGGGTTGTTTCAAAATTTTGACCCAATTTACGATTTTCAAACCGCATGGGTAATTGCTGTGCCGCGCCCAATGGGCGTGGACATTGCCCAGGGGGCATCTTCTGGGCCCAGTGGATCTTTGCTGAGATAAGTGATATTAAGATTGATTCTTATTATTGACTGAAGAGTTGTCTTCTACATGTGTGGGATGCCCCATATATATCCGTTCCCGATCCCTGCTGTAAGGTTCAGCGACCGTGATACTCAACAGGGCCAATGAATTGGATTTCCACCGCAGTGAGCGCGACTGCGGTGCTGATTTGTGGGTCAGCTTCCGCAGCCAATCAGATTGATTGACTCACTTATGGTCTTTTCCAGCCGCACTCGCGGCAGGCATTTCGTGTAGCTCTCAGTAGAGAGATCCCCACCCCTCGCTTTCAGGAAGTAATGCATCTCTTCCTGAAGTGCTTCCCTGTTTGCTCTGGCCGCAGGGACCCTTATGCCCAAGGCAGAAAGAGTGTGTGATCAGCAAAATTCATAACCTGAACAACCCCAAGCTGCCGCGTAGTGAGTTCTGTACTGTGTCGCGCATGATGTAGTCTCTCTATCTGTTCTATGTCTATGTACTTGTCGGGCCTTTCCTGACCCTCCTTAGCTTCTGTATGACAATGATCACTTGTCTACGCTATGAGTATTTTAGTTGCCCGGAACCAACCCAGGAGTCCCGCCCTGAGGATCATCTTGGCTGCTTGTACTATCATTGACGAGCTACAGAGAATTTGCTTGATGTCAATGCATGGATGCTTGCCTGCCCACAGTCAATCAATCTTTTATCCCCACGAGCATCCTGGTTTCCGACTGACGTCAGAAAATGGTACACGAGGGAAGAGAACAGTGTGCGGGAAGCCATTATAGTAGCCTCTTGTGATTTGTGCTCCAATATACCTGAATAGAACCTTGACTTCTTCCCTGATATTGATCCAAGAACAATCTGGTCACAGTTGACCAAGGAAGCCCCCAATTCCTTCTTAACTCCATCAAGAGTTCCTCTTCCTCTGGTAACCATGGCTTCCCTTTCCTAGAATTCTTGTGGCGCGTTGAATGATTATTCTGAGTTTTGGGGCTGACTCTCTGATTCTGGGTCTGGCAATGGGCTAACTGCACATTTCCTTTCTTGACTGCACATGCTTTTGATGAGGTGTGGGTAGCATGTTTGGTGAATAATGGCTGGTCAGGGGCTGACTGGGGTTGGATGTGGGATGGCAGATGATCAATGGCATCTGGAAGAAATGTAAGGAAATATGCATGCTGCTGGCCATGTGGTTGAATACAGATGATGCTGTGGCCGAAAATCTCCTGTGCCTCACCAGGACTAGTGAGAAAGTCAACTCCAGATGGGGCCTCAAGTGTAGCTATAGAGCCTTTAGAGTGACAGCTGGTGGAAACTGAGGTGTTCTGAGCAGTTTTTGAGATTAGGTTCTGCCAACACCTTTTCTGCAGGTGTTCCCCGCCATCAGCAGCAGCTTTTCTAGTGAGCAGAGAATGGTTTCCAGTGAAGCTGTCTGTTGGCTGGTCTTCTTTGCTCTTGCAACTTGCACTGGCTTGGTGAAAACAGTGTGATGGCTGCACAAGGGAGTCCCTGGAAGTTCCTGTCATCAAGCTGGCTGATCAATGGACTGGGATTACCACAGCAACAGAAGGCGGCTGATCACACTGGTTGGATTCTGTATTCACTTGAGAGTGAAGTACATGGTGGGGAGGTGAGTTTGATCTCAGTTGCTTTCCCTTATGTTGTGGTTGCCAGTTCAGACCACGGAGGACAGAGATGTTATCTTCACAATCAGTACTGGTGTCCCTGCTTGAGGCAATGCTGGGCGTGGCGGTCAGTGTATTAGATGCACTAACTGTCAAGGCCCTTGTCTGCTCTCCACAGCATGCTGCCTTGGATGGCAAGCCCTCAAATGGGATTTCATGGTGTTGACCAGGTCGAGCATGATGCTTGTTCTCAGATGATGCAGGGTTTGACAAGGCTGGTGAAGGTAGCTGAGAGTTGTGATGATTTGGAGCACTGTCTATCATTGTTGTCTGCTTATATATATATATATACGAGAGCCAAAAAAAAAAATCAAAAAGGGAACAATTTTGATGTTCCGACACCGGGAATCGAACCCGGGGCTGCTGTGACCTTCTTGAGAGACAGCGATGTTACCTCTACACCATATCGGACTTTGATGCGTATTTTCCGACGCAAAACCTTAAAACATGGTTAACCAATAAATCAAAGCTTATTTTCTGCTTTACGCTTGTCTAGTCTCCTAATTAGTATTACAACCTCAACCGGATAGCATCTCGTCTTGGATTCCGGGACTGGTTAATCTGAAGCCTCTAGATCCCAGGTATATTTCAGCTATATTTCTAACTATGGTGGTCGGGCAGGGGTTAGCTCGTTACCCTCGGCCACTTGGTGAGTTCAAGCACGGAACAACAACACCATATCCGCCTTCGTAGCGCCCCATCAACCTTTAAATCCCCAGACAGCGTCAATATTCGTATTATCTATGCATGCTTGTGATGTTGATTAGATACCGCATTGTTTAGAAATCATTCCCAGTTCCTTTTAATAACTTAATCGAAGCGCTGGCGGGACCTCGAATGTTCCTCAAATCCTCCAAAAAGGTTCTATCGCCACGATATCACAGTCCGGAGGTCAAATCTGACACGATTCCACGGTCCTCAATTAACTCTCGAGTCATATGGCAAGAGAAAGCTTCTCAGGAATGACTAATCAAGGACGTAAAGTCAAACGGCGATCAATAACGTCATTCTTGGTTAGCAGTTCACACCCGAGCAGGGCGAAAGCGATGTAGACGGCAAAGGATTAAAAAATTAAAATCGGATGTAACGTGAAAAAGCGCAAAGATTGCCTAAGAACTGACAAACCGTCGGCCCGACGCAGCTGCCGGCTTTTTCGATTGCATTCTAAATTGAACATCCCCGACAACGCCCCCGAACTAGCTAAATTGGATGCGAAATCCGCCTTCATCCGGACCAACAGGTGATGCGTCCTATTTTGCAGTGCTGCGACAATGGGCTGGAACACGAATCCTGAACACCGTAAGCAGAGAGTTTTGATAATCGGTGCCGGAGCGGCAGGAATGGTATGAATTAGTAGGCCCTTTGTTTAGTATACAGTCGTGAAGAGAGATATGCGCATCTTTAAGCTACAAAGGAAACTTCAATAACCGTGTTTATCTAGGCATGTGCCGCGACGCTCGCAAAAAGGTCCGAAAGGTTCGATGTCACCGTTTTGGAAAAGAATTCAATACCTGGCGGACTGGCAATGTCCTTAGCAGTGGACGGAGAGAAATTCGGAGCGGACTGGGCAAACACAGGCGCGCAAGGAGGAACTCGCATGTTTCGGCACAGCTATAAGTTTTTTCGAGAGTATGGCTATGAACCTAAGGAGGTGCGGATACAGCTTTCTTTTGGAAAGGGGAAAGATGGATTCTGGACGAATATGTTCCCGACCCCTCTCCTGCAAAAGCACCAGCACGAAATCGAGAAATTTGGGAGGGCTTTGAGAGCAGTCCGCCATTTTCCTTTTCCACTCTGGATAGTCCCCCTGAAAAGATTTCTTTGGCTCTTCGGTCTCAGTAGAGAGTTCGGTTACAGGATCGTCTATCCAATAACGTCCCTGCTGATGGGAATCGGAAACGAGGCGGAAGATGTCCCATGTGGTATCCTTGTACGGTTGTTTGAAGATCCGGAAATGAAAATCTGGGACTACGACCCTGTTGGGTTCATGCCCGCACGTCCGCCAATGTTCGCATTCCCGAATATGACCCGTTTCTATATGGACTGGGCCTCCGGGCTTCGGGCGAAGGGCGTCACCATTCGCCTTAATACACAGGCAGTCAAGATTATCCAACGGAATGAGCGTGGGATTATCGTGGAAACTCGACAAATGGACGAGGACGCTCGGGTAACAGAAGGCAGCTTTCATGATCGGAGCATGACAGAAGAGTTCGACAAGCTAGTCCTATGTGTCCCCGGAGACGAGGCGAAGCGGATTCTCGGAGAAACAGCCACATGGAGAGAAAAATGGATACTTGGTGGCGTAAAATATTACGACGACATCACAATAACACATTGTGACCATAATTACTTTGAGAATAGGTATGAGCCCCGGTTCAAAGAGGAGCTCTGTGCAAAGCCTCGCACAAAGGAGCAGGAGGAACAAATCAAATTTGCAAAGGGGGAGGCCGGCATCCAATCCGGCTTCCGTCCGTCATATTGCACATTCTCCTATCACTCAAGGCCAGGTAAGAACGAACTGGCATTCGACTATTCGAATTTCCAGTATCAGTTCCTCCCGGAACCTGGCTCCGGCAAGCCGCCGATTCCACTTGAACGCCATGTGTTTCAAAGTCGATTTCTGGGCGAAAACCTGAAAGGTATCTGGACCATTGACCAAATAGACGATAAAGCGGTGCTGGAAAGAAGGTGGATACACCAGCCATCTCAGGGTTGGAAGCATTACATCAGGGTGCTTCCTTACTTGAGATATATCAACGGGAAAAACAACACCATATATGCAGGTGCTTGGACTTTCGCCGTAAGCTTCCTGTTTTATCAATGACTTGGTGAGAGCCTGATTCTGACGCCAGCTAGAACATGCATGAGGCTGCTTGCATCACTGGGATCGCGGCAGCGGTCCGATTGGGAGTGGAATATGAGTCGCTAGATGACTTTGCCGACAAGCTTTTCTCGTTGTATCTGCGGGCTGCTCATGGGAAGACGTTTAAGAGAAAGACTCCCGATTGGTTCACTCGGCGTCGCGGAAGTGCAGCCACCAATAATTCTGGACCCGCGTAATGACCAAACCACCCATTGAGTTTGATTGTTTGTGTGTGGTGAAGCCAAGGTGGATGAGGAGGACATTCGCAGCCCGCTTCCGGAAATATATTACATTTTCGGGGAAATCGCTTGTTCACTCCGTCATGATGGCATCTGATGGACCTGGTTGGTTCTCCATGTTCTGTATATTCGGCTCCAGACTCTGGGTGCCCGATTCCCCATTGTTCTCAGTTCCTTGTGACACTCCGGCTGGCTGCGATTCACTTGACGGAAAGCTCAGATGTTTCCAATCCTCAATCTCCTCTGTAATGCATTTCAGTCGGTCTCTAATACTTTCCACCGCGTATGTTCCCAATAGTAATCTCAACGGTGGATAAGAACAATGGCCCAACTGCCAAACTAACTCTGCGGCCCTCACCGCACTCGTAGGTTGCTTATCGCCCAACCACTGTATCATTCTTCTAGCATGAGACGCCGGTACTGTGGGTCCACTATACGGAGCACTGGCAGGCTTAACCAAGAAGTGTCCAAACGCAGGCAACGGCGAAGTCAAATAGGTCTCCGGAACGGGGATGCCAGGTAAATTATCAAAGTCATCGCGACGAATATGTCCCGGTTCCACCAATGTGCCCTTAATATTGAAACAATCAATCTCATACAGCATACTTTCGATTAGCCCTTCCACAGCATATTTCGACGCACAGTATGGTCCCAAGCCAGGCACGCCCAGTGCACCAGACGTCGAACTAAATATCAAATACCGCCCGGCCCTGCGCTCTCGAAAATGCGGCAACGAGCACTGCACAATGTTCAACGTGCCCATGAAATTGGTTTCAAATTGATTTCGTATGTCATATTCCTCCTGGTCTTCACACGCCCCAATGACGCCGTACCCAGAGCAGTTGGCGATTACGTCGATCCGGCCGAAGTGGGCGATTGTCTGGTCAATGGCGGCTTGTACGGTCTCTCGAGCGCGAACGTCGCATAGCAGGCCAAGGCAGTTTCTGTTCTCGGTCTGCAGACGCGCCATGTAGGCGGGTGAGTTCTCAAAGGTGCGGCCGACCGCTGCGACGAGGTCATTGTGAGCGAGGGCGGATTTCACGAGGGAACGGCCCATGTGGCCCGTTGCGCCGAATATCTATAATTTAGGATCGAATTGAGCACATCGCTGTAAGAACTACGTAGCGAAGGTGGGCCGACCTACCAGCCAGACCAACTGTTTTGGTGGGTTCTGTGGCCCCGGAGGGTTGGTTGTTGGCGGAAGTCGAAGCGCTGCATCCCGCGAAGTTTGCGGAGACGGTGCGGGTTTGGGTTCCTGTGAATGATTTTCCATAGATAAAAATTAGCTGTGATAGCTGGGATGAAAGCTTTCCGACTTTGGTCGGATTAAAGGTTGAGATTGAGGCGTGTTGAAGTTCAGGCGCTCGCAGAGAATGGTCCCCGCACGGTGCTCTCGGTCCCACAATGAATTCATGTGTGGAGGACAAACTATGGAAGCGCTGGAAAACAACGTGGAATATCAGGGCACTTTTAACTACGTTTCAGATGCAACAGCACCACTATTCCTTGTCAATAAGTAACAGCAAGTATATTTCATGATATTCTCCTCTCTAACGATCCAGGTCATACAAATATTGACATAAAACTCCCTGGAAAAAGTAACGCATGCATGCACCGAGAAATCCTAATAGCCTAAAAAGCCCATTGGCAACCTTAGCTTGAGGGTAACTATCGGTTCACTTCTCTTCGTAACCTCCCCGCTGCCGTGGCAGGAGCCGGCTCCGGCCAATACCCTACCGCATCGTCAACCTCTTCTAAGAATGTCGTACTGTTGTGAATGCATGTCCCGGCGAGGACGACTCGAACACCGGGTGTGCTCGCATTCACTTGGGCTACCACCTTGGCCTCTTCATAGGTTGTTCCACCGACCATGAAGATGACAATGTCCTGTGGCTTGTCCCGAGTGTGGCCGCCACCTTCAAGGAAGGGATACTGCAGCTCTTTCAGCCGTCCTTTAATGAGGTTTTGTAGAGTGGCTTCCAACCGCGGAGAATGCTGCGTATATACATTCTCAACGCCTTTCAGGCCCTTGAAGCGATCACGAGCCCCAGTCAAGAAGGAAGCGGATTCGAATAGATCTGAAAATCCTCCCGCAACCGGAGGAGCTTGAAGCGAGTGGTGATATGCTAGAAGTTTTGGAATAATATTGATCCTGTGAGGAGGGACGTCTCCGGCGGCAGTGAGCAGATCAATGAGTACCGGTAAAGCATTCGATGGCTGCTTCTCATATCGGATGGCATAGAGGGCGACTAAACGCAGCTTATTATCTACTGTAACTGACGGAGATTGGATGAGTCTTTGGAGAGCCTGAGGAGACAATTAATACCTGCACGAGAATGTATAGTAGAAGGATACTGTCACTGCGAACCTTGAGATCATTGGAATGATTATCATTGCATGCAAGACTTTGTTCCAATTCGCTGACATCAAGCAGATTATGTTCTCCGACTTTCCTGCTCAGCTCTCCAACAAGTGTGACATGCTTGCTAACATTCCCAGACAACTTCCGGAATTCCGGGTATTCTTCGACGAAGCGCTTCATGTCGGCAATAGACTCAATACTCATATTGTTTTTCGTTTTCGACTGATATTGCTCAACATAATCTTTGATGCTTCCACCAAGGTCACCAAAGTTTAGGTACATATTCTTCTTGAAAAATGGGTCTTGGTCTTGAGACACAACAATCTCCTTGAGTTCTGGACGAATATCTGGGACCTCACTTAAGTCGACCCTCCCGTTATTAATACCGAGCAGTTCATGTACCATCGCTTGATATGTCCATTGGTTCAAAAGAGGTGTGATGGGGTCGTCTCTGCGATCTAATACAAGTAGGATTGGAGGTGTGTCGGACTTTCTGAAATTAAAGAGTTGCTCTTCCTGGGTGAGCTGGTATCGAATTTCTGTAGCAAGCTTTTTGGCAATCAAACTATTCTTCTCATATCGAAGCAGAGGCTTCAGCTTAAGCGACAACAATAGCGCGATCACGCCCTCTGTTGTTCTTTGCAGCGCATCTGAATTCCACATGTCAGGGGTATGGCTCCATGTCCTCTGCTTCGGGAAGCCGATATTCAAAGAGCAAAGATCCGGGTTGATCACCAAAAAATCTGCAAAATATTCTTGGACTGCTTTTACAACCTCGTGGTCGTCTGCCTCCGCAAGTCTTTCGAGAGAGGACTTGCGAACGATGTTGCTGAAGTAGATATAGTACTCGCTGTACTTGGGCTCTCGCAATTCATCAATAAGATACTGGATCGAGTCCGGAGACGGTCTGACAAAGCATAAGCATTTGAGATGTCGCATCTTCTCCCGCGACTGATTGTCAAGGCGATCGATCAAATAGACTTCATTGTTAAGGAGGGCGGATTGGGTCGTGGCGCTGGATACAATGTGTACCTAGTGTATCGATTAGACCAAGTCATAAGGGATAGAAGGTCATGTCTCCCACGGTCTCACTATCAAGCAATAATATCTTCATTTTAGCAGCAGAGGAACCGGGCGTTGATGAGTCGCCTGCGGACACCATCTTGGATATGTATCCGGAGACCGCGGCGACAACGTCCATCTTCGGCGATTTCTATTCAACTCCCTTGCACAAAGTAGAATCAAATGCCAATCCTGATATAAAGTTCCCTGATAATCCTGGGTTTGAGAAGAGCAATAACAAAAGACAGGTGAGATTGTTGTTTCCCACCTCTTGCTCGCGCCAGCTCCTGGTCGTTTAGAGCCCGGCTGAAAGTTATATCACGTGATGGTAAATGGCCTCCAGAAATCCACCGGTACGTCATTATTTGAATAGCGACCACAGGACACATACTCTGTACGGAGTACATATGCACTTCTCTATACGGAGTACTCTGCATTCCTAGAATAGATGCAGGATTTCATTGACGCAAGTAGCGGTTTAGGGGAGCACGAGATACAAAGATATAAAGGGATGGAGAAGATTGGTTATCGCCCACTCTCATTCAGGATTCTAGGAAGTTGGCTGGATGCCCTCTTACCAGCACGGCAAAGGCCCTGGATCAGATGAACTCTAGTTTTCTTAAATAACTATTTAATGCGGGTATTGTTAAGTACTGCGTGAATGATTTTTAGAAGCTTCTGAAGGTCATTCTCATGGCTGAAGTGTGTATGGGGTACTTTGTACTCCGTATATGCTTGGGGAATATCACAGTTATAGCTAGAAAGGGATGTTAATTCACAGAAAGTAGTGTTGATATCAATGAGCTCAATACTCCATATCTGATTTTGCCAAATAGTATTGTGCCTGTAGGAACACAGCTTTTCTGCAGGTTGCTCGTGATGCTGTTGGTGCAGCTGTAAGACATCCAGGTTTAATCCCCACAGAAAAATTTGTTCTTGAACTGAAGAGCTCCAAACCAACATATTTATCCTTCTCATTAAGAGCAACACAGGGTATCAAGCTCATTCATTCGTTCCTTTCAAACATGAGCTTGCCAGCCTTCGTTTTTGTCTGACGTTGCAGCTGGTCCTAGCTGCACCGACTTACCTGGGATAATTGCTGAGGTCCAGCAACACCCACAAGATGCTACCATACATAGATACTCGTTAGTCGATTCGCAATTACCTTTGAAAAAAATAAAGACAATGATAATATACTAATAGATTCACTCCATAAAAGCATTTATTCCGCTCTCTGAGCTTACTGGTGCCTCCATTGATGAGCGTATGTCAAAACCAAGCTGATACGACCACGTCCTCCAGTCTAACATCTCACAGTAAAGCTGGTAACCTCCTTCCTTCTCTCATACCCCCTCGCTGCGATTCTCAAACGCCTCCCCGACTCGCAGCCATGGCAAAAGAACGCATTCATTGTCCTTGTCTCGATCTTCTACCTCGTTGGCCTCTTCGACCTCTGGGACGGCCTCCGAACACTCCTCTACAATGCAGTGGGAGCATACGCGATCGCATATTACATTGACGGATCCCTGATGCCATGGATAGGCTTTCTTTTCTTGATGGGGTATATGTCAATTAGCCATATATACCGCCAAATCGTGGCCGAACCCTCCGCGGTTGACATCACTGGTGCGCAAATGGTGCTGGTGATGAAACTCAGTGCGTTTTGTTGGAATGTTCACGACGGCCGTTTGCCGGAGAATATGCTCTCGGAGGGCCAGAAACATGCCGCTATTAGGAGAATGCCCAGTGTTCTGGATTTTGCGGGCTACGTGCTGTTCTTCCCTTCGCTCTTCGCGGGACCTGCGTTTGATTACGTCGAGTATAAACGGTGGATTGAAACAACTATGTTCGACCACCCACCTGGGGTAGACCCGTCAAAGATTCCCCCGACACGGAAAAAGAGAAAGATACCCCGGAGTGGTCGTCCGGCAATGTGGAAGATGCTGCAGGGGTTACTCTGGATTTTACTTTTCATTCAGTTTGGCCCGTCGTATGGCAAGTCCCGGGTTCTGAGCCAAGATTACTTGGAATGTGGATTTGTGAAGCGTGTTTTCATCCTGCACATGCTTGGCCTTACCGCTCGGTTCAAATACTATGGCGTTTGGGCGCTGACTGAAGGAGCATGCATTCTCTGCGGCATGGGATACAACGGCTTCGACCCTCAAACCGGAAAAACACACTGGAATAAGCTGGAAAACGTTAATCCATGGGGCTTGGAAACGGCTCAAAACCCACACGCGTATCTAGGCAATTGGAACAAGAATACTAACCATTGGCTCCGAAACTATGTCTATCTACGAGTCACTCCAAGAGGCAAGAAACCAGGTTTCAGGGCTAGTCTAGCGACTTTCTTAACAAGTGCGATGTGGCATGGGTTCTACGCAGGATACTATCTCACCTTTGTCTTGGGTGCGTTCCTCCAAACGACAGCCAAAAGTAAGCCTAACTCCAGATCTTCAAGCATTACTCTCCCCCATCCAAGCGATCTAGTCAACCCAGTGCACTAACATTCCCCAGATTTCCGCCGCCACCTCCGTCCTTTCTTCCTCACAACAGATGGTTCCAAGCCTACTCCGCTCAAGCGTTACTACGACATCCTAGGCTGGCTAACCACCCAGCTGGCGCTCTCCTTCGCCGCCGCCCCTTTCATCATCCTGCAATTCACCGACTGCATCACGGCCTGGAAACACGTCTACTTCTACGGCATCATCGGCATCGCATCCTCGCTCGCGTTCTTCGCCAGTCCTGGCAAGAAATTCCTCGTCAAGAAGCTCGACGCCAGGAATAAGGGCCTAGCCGCTGGAAGAAGGGACGAGAAGAAAGAACCCGCCCAGCCGCCGACGCTGGGATTGCCGGATGACCCGGAGCGGGAGTTCGATGAGGCGGTGAGTGAGATTCGGAGCGAGATTGAGGCGAAGAGGAGAAGGGGGAGTGTGGTGAGCATGCCGTCGGGCCATGAGTTGAAGGTGTTGATTGAGGAGAGGTTGGGGAGGAAGAAGAGGTGATCCTGTCGTGAGCGTTGGAAAGCATGCGTGCGTGCATTGGCGCGCCTGATTCGTTAGTTCGACGGTGGTTTGCATATATACTCGGTAAAGGATCGAGCTGCAGAAATGGAGTGACTCGGTCGAGAGTATGTTACACAGACAGCAGAATAGACGCACAGCCTATACGCCGTACCTCGTCATTGAAAGCGACATGATAATCAATCCAAACTGCAGAATATATTGTTGTGTGTACCGTGCTGCTCGAGCCAAAGAATTCTTTTTCTACATACTCCGTACTCCAAAGAAAGGCCCAAAGTGCCTCTCAGCATAGTTAAAAACAAAAACAAGAAAAGAAAAGAAGACTGCGAGCCAAATAGTAATGTCCTCCATTCAAATATGAAGTTAATATTTGACAACCCTCCTAAAAACAAACCCTCCCACTCAATACCAATTAAAGGCCATCCATAATGTCCCACATAAATTCCAAGCCGAAAAGGGGGGAATTTATACTCTCAATAACCCAATAACCAAAGGTAGTTAGCCGCCGAGGCAGCAAGGGGAAAAAAAAGATAAGGAATAATACTTCCAGACACCAGACAGGCAAGTGTTGTAAAATATACTTTGTACAGCGAGAGGTGTAAACATTTGGGAAGTATATAACAGCGATAGTTTGAAGTTGTGGAAGTGGTAATAATAAAAGCTCCCAGATACACAAAAACATACAACAAAAAGCCGAACCATTTTATAGGGTCGTCAGAAGCATTAAAGTCAAAAAAAAAAGAAAAAAGTCAAATATCGCTGAATAAACGAAAAAGGTCTATTAAATAACCGAGCAATGACGCCGTCGTAAGTTCATAAGGGGGTGGATGCGAATCCGGCGCCCCAGGAACGGATTGGATTGTTTATTCGGTCGTAGGGTCATGTATAACGAATATGTAAAGCATAAAAGGCGTAAAGTCGTACGGTCGAGGACCGAAAAGAAAACGAAGCTTTTTTTTCTGTTATTTTTTGTGGTTCTCAAATTATGTTTTTAGTTCCCAAAACAGATAGGGTAGCCTAGTAGCGAAGAGGTTAGAATTGAGTTTGACAACTGGCGGAGGGTAAACTCACAATTGTAGCAATGATTATAAGGCCTACTGGTGTCATAAAGCGATTGAGCCTTCGCCACCATCGGGCATTCTCGTAGCGAATTTGGTCTATGTGTTTGACTCGGTTGCTGAACGTTCGCTCGACGTCCGGCTGGTCGGTGGTGAATTCCTCGTTTGACGGAAAGACTTTGGGAGGAAGTGGTAAGAACGCAGCCACGAACCACGCTGTAGAAAAGTCAGTAACTTTCTATCAAATCATTCGTAACACTCTTTGCGGACAATAAAAACATACTTAATGGCACCAAGAAGCCTAAGCAAAATAAATAAATTTGGACGTTGCGCCAGCCTATTATACCCTCCGCGCTCTCGTCCAAAGAAGGTGGGTTCCAAAGAGACCTCCGAACGGAGCCTGTGCGATGATCTGGAAATAGATGTGGTGACCAATTCGCAGGAAGGTCTTCTTGGGAAGGGGTTTTTGGGACGTTCCTCTCGCTGTGCTGGAATCCACCAGCCCAATGTGTCCTGGGATCCCTCGTATCAGCAGTAGGCAAAGCTAATCGAGTGTCGGTGTTCTTCCTCGGTCGAGATCGTGTGCGGGATATTTCTAGAGGACCCAGATGGGCGGCGGGGCGGGCACTCGCAGCCGTCGAAGGGCGGCTACCCTCAACTAGAGACAGAGCTGATAACTGGAGCCCTGCGCCACCGCTGCGATAGTATACTTTGGCCCAAGTAGGGATGGTGTTGAGGATGGAGCTGGCGCTAGAACCTGGTCTGCTCATCAATCGAAAACTGTCAAATCTTGATACCATAGAACGATTACTCAAAGATCCAGATCGCTTCGTTCGCAGCAAGCAAGGCTGAAGTTGGGAAAGGGTGTCGGCTCCTTCGTCACTTTCGGATTGAGCCACGAGCCGAATTGAAAAGTCGGAAGGGCGACCCCTAATTGCATTATCTCCCGATGATTCCGTACTAGAGTCCGTTTGGTCAACCTGGGGCGAGGCACTGGCAGAGCTCAATGCTCTTTCCGCCGACCATTCAGAGGGCACAATTGACAAAAGACGGTTTCGACCCGGTTGATATCTCGTTAACTGTGATGATTGTGAGGGTAGTCTCGACGAGGATCCTTCCGCTAACGAACCGGCGGACGGAGGTGATCGGATGGTTGGATACTTCACAGGCAAGCCGCTATCAATGATCGTTTGGATATCCGAGGGTGACTGTCCGCTCCGAGTGGATGCAGAAGCCGTCCGTGTATGTGTCGATCCCCCTCTTGAGAGCGCAAAAGACGATGTAGATCGGTGCGTTCTTAGAATAGCACTAGGAGGGTCCGAAGAAAAAGATAGTGACTGGTTGCTGTCTCGTTCCAAAAAACCTGAATTTTGCTGTTGTGGACGGACATACCGTCTGGCTGTCCCAAATGTATTGGCGGAATATAACGAAGAATCTGAGGCGCTTTCCTTGACGTAATAAGGCGAGGAGGTCACAAGTGGCATAAAATTGGGAGATGAGCTTTCCAGGGGGATAATGTTTGGGCTCGAAGTCAAGCCTAGACGAACCACAATCGGACTCGAACTGCTGGTCAGGCCCGAGTCAGACTGTTCTGGCGTCGAGTCGTCCTGCGGTACGGTCTTGATCGTCGTGTTCAGCGGTGGAAGGCGAGTTCGGTCACTGCTTTCAGATTTTTCGTCGCCGGCCTCGACGGCCTCATCGATGACGGGAGTCGCCAGGTGTGGTATGGAAGTGTTGCTTGAGTTTTGGCTTTCACCCCAAATAAAGCTCGACAGGTTTCCCTCCTGCACCAGGGTGGAAAGCTCCGAGACACTTCCACCGTGATCCTCGGGGAAGTTTCGACTGGCATATTCCGCGCTCGAGGGGGAGGTATCGGTTGAGTCGTTATGGAACGAAGCTGAAACAGGGTTCGATGTTAGGGGTCCGCCATATTGGTTGTCGCTAGGTGTGGGCAATAAAATGTGCTCCGGTTTCGTGGGATATGGATCCGTAGAATAGATGTCAGCTTCATCTTCGGAAGATTTATCCATAACGAGTCTTAACGTTGACGCGGGTGGGCGTTCGTTGCTTTGAGACGGAGTTCTTTCATGCAAAGGCCTTCGACGTTTCGAAGATGGGGACAGGGGCGGAATAGACAATGACATGGTGTGTGAGAGATCTGTAACAAGGGCTATTATCTCATTAAGGTTGCCAAAAAAAAGGAGGGTAATATAATAATTAAAGCAATATAAATTAAGCAAAGTCCTATTTTGCCAATAGCGAAAAAAAAAAGAATGAATGTCTAGATAATAAAACTGCTTGGTTCGCCTTTTTCAGAAAAGAGTGTCAGCAAAGAAGCCGTGCAATTGATGAAGATCAGTATCAGGGAACGCAAATTGATGCTATTTTCATCTGGCTTTTCGGCTTGTCCAGGAGTTCAAACGAGGGACTGCAGATAAAGTGTTTTATCCGGGCGGCAAGAGAGCGAATGATCGATAAAATGAATGGCTAAAAGGCGATTAAGACAGTCATTATAGCACTAGGGGCCAATTATCTATTTTAAAGAATGAATGACATGAAGAACAAGGAAAAGGAGAGACAGAGAGCAAAAAGACCAAAAGCACAAAGCAACAAACAGCCGAAAAGAAGGGTTGCAGAAGGGGATCGCTGGCTGGAGGGAAGTGAAAGAGACGGCGAGGCGGACTTCGTGAGCGACGTTGGGCGAAGGACGGTGGGTCGGCGACGAAACCACGGCACCATGCCGGCTCGGGCCTAGCGCGGCACCTGAAACGAGGCGGTGAGGCGCACGGTCCAGGTCACGTGGCATCAGCTCTTCGGGCGTGGAGTCGGAGAATCTTCTCTCCGCGCCCTTGAAACCGTGGCGCGTCGCGAAGGGGAAGGAATCGGCGGGTGGGTGGCTGATCGTGAGGGTGGCAGGAGGGCTTTTTTTTTTTTTTTTTCGTGCGTTTGCAGACGCGAAATAGGCCTGGCTTCAGGGGATCTCTGTGATCCTTTTGGAAATCTCTGCTAATCGTAGTATATGAGCGCGTTGGGACTCTTGAGAAACACCATCCCAGCAGCCCTAAGCGAGAATCCTTGATTTCTGTTGAGGGGTGGATGCTTGTTCAGTCCCAGAGCCCAGGCGTCGGATCATCTGAGCAGATCCTCAACCTGGCGATTTCAAATCCTGAAAGTAAAGTCTCCTCATATTGCAAAAGAGGGTGCGTCTCCTCGCCCAGCAAATGCCGATGCAGCCAGGCCATTGGAGAATATGTGGGTATTCTGCGCATTAACCATCAAGTTTCTCCTTGATGGATGTCTCGAGGCAAGAACGCTGAGCGCCACTCTTCGCTGTTCAGTACGACTAGGGAAGAAAGGGGGATGGGATTATGCCTCCTAGTTATATAACTCGCGATATAAATTCAATCCTGCCGTTAGGTTACTGGGATACGCATGTCACCTCTCACAGTCACAGGCTAACCCCTATTGTTCTTGAGTGGGCTTTCTGGCCCCCTAATATTCGGTCACATATCGGCATCTATGAGCCGGAAGTATATATACAGATCCTAAAATCCACCCCGCGTATGTAGATTCGAGTTGTCCAGATAGCTTGGATGCGCACGCGTAATGTGACTGCATGATTCGAGTTAACAAAAACGAAATAAATTAATAACACAAGGGATGTGTTATATGATATCCGGCCAGAACGGGCTTCCTTCCCCTATCTCTTTAACTTCGAACGCGTTCGAAGGTACAAAAACCCACTACATGTCCAGTTTAAATCCACCTGGCTGTAACCTCTCAAAGACCAAGAAAGGATCATACTCCTCCTGCGCCTTGCGCAACTTCTTCACGTTCTCGGCACCGTAGCTGGTGACCGGCTTCTGGTATGGAGCAGCGTAGTTCATATAGATGTAATCGTGTAGAAGGCCCTTGGACCTAGCAAATTCGTTCGTCTTCTCAAGAACCCGGTCAATTGTCGAAATAACAAGCTGGTCGTCAGCAACGTTGGACCATTGGAAGCAAAGATTGACCACTATGCACTAGCGTCAGTATCGTCGTGTCATTTTACTAACAATGGCGAGCTACTCTTTTTTTTTTTTTTTTTTTTTTTTTTTTTGTTTGGTTGGGGGAGCTTACATATAAGAGGCCCATCGTCGGGACTGACACCAAGCGCATTTCCACCTCTCTTCGAAAACTTAGAGCTGATGGAGGGAGGAATAGGCTGGAATGCAACAATGGGTGCGAATGCCTCCTTGGCGGACATCCGGCCTTCTATGTTCTTCACTTCTTCCATAAGGATGTCCACCATGCGATTCTGTACCTCGGCGCTATTCCTATACGTAACTGTGGTAAACTGCTGGCGAAGACCGGGTGGTGTGCCCTGTCCAAGCTCAATGGCAAACTGTGTCATATTGGTGATCCGGCTAGTGTCTCTTGAGGGAGTGTATTTTAGTAGGTCTGCGAAATTTGTGGTGAGGATAGGTGGGTTCGCTTCGGGTTTAGCGTAATCAAAGATGACGGTGGAGTACCAGCTTCCTGATCTATGGATAAAGGAGGTAATGACAGCGAGGTCTGGGTCATCCCATGCGTTATCGTTGAACGAGCTGAGCCCGCCATTAATCGCTTCTTTAGCCTCGACAGGGTAAACACGAATTCCACCCCAGAACTCGCCGAGAGGGTAAGTTTCGAAGTCGAATCGGAGAACAATACCAAAGTTATTTCCGCCACCGCGAAGGGCAAAGTAAAGAAGTGGATGAGACTTCTCATCTACTTCCAGGATATGGCCGTCAGCCATCATGACCTATGCGAACTATCAGCAATTATCCGAGAAACAACAAACTCTAAACGCGCATAAATATAGTTTGATAACATACATGAAACTTCAAGACGTTATCGCAAGCAAACCCTCCACGTCCAGAAATGTATGACATTCCACCTGACACACGATCAGTAACCCGGGGTTTTCTTCCGAAGGCATCATACGTGAATTGAAACCTTACCGCCGAGGGCCAAACCACCAACGCCAACAGTGGAAGCGCGGCCTCCAATAACCGTCAACCCGTACTCGTCAAGGTGTCGATATACTTCAGCCCAGGTGGCGCCGGGGCCAACCGTGGCCACCTTCTTATCTTCTGACACTTTGATATCGTTGAAAGCACGGAGATCGATAACAATGCCTTCCTCAGTATTCGAGGCACCGGGGACATCCGAATGCCCTCCAGACCGTACAGCGAAAGGACATTGTGTAATGCGAGATATCGCAAGGGCCTTTGCGACAGATTTGGGACTCTTGGCGGCCACGAAACAAGAAGGCGACAATGTCGATTGCTGCTGAGCCCAGTAACTCTCCTTGTTTGAAGTATATGCACCAGAGCCAGGCATCTCAACCTCAGAAGGGAGCACACGGCGTAAAACTTCGGTCTGTTACCCTCAAAAGGAGGACACAGTCAGTATATTCTGAATCGTACGGCTATTGAATGGATGACATACGGCAATAATACATCGCGCAGTTACATTCCCCTCGAGGTTATCACCACCTGGTATATCCTTGACATGCTCCTCCAAGCCCAAGTCCTTTATCATGTCGTCCAATGGCCGAGGAATATAGCTTTGGGCTTGAGCACTCATTGCGGTTGCCACCAACGTTATGGAAGAGAGAAACCAAGTTGACAGGGCGTGAGAACGCATGTTGCCTGATTAGTGAACGCGCCCACACACAAAGTTAACGCCAATGGCGTGTGATTATGATCTTCAGAGAGATATGTACAGGCGGAGTAGCAACCACTCCACCAAAAAGACAGACAGTATGAAGAAGCAACAGAAATGAAAACCCGGGAGACACCTGGCGTAAATAAATCGTTGGAACAACAAGAGTCCAACCGAAAAAAAAAAAAAAAAAAAAGAACTCGAAAAGAGCGAATAATGCAGCTAGCCCACACTGTAGAGGTCTAGAAGTTGGTAGAAGAGGGGAGCACAGAGCGTCGGAAGATCCTCTCTTCCCCTATCTGTCTCCCTACCATTTCTCTAGCGAGATATACCGCGAGATTCCCTCGCAAATACCATGTCAGACCACGTCTCCAGCAGAGGAAATTAAAGTCTCAACTGCGCACCCGCCGTAATCCCTGTCGTCGACCAGCACCACGAGGTTGCTCGCCGGGATGTCCCCATTTGCCCAACCATGATGGAGAGAATCTCACCGCTCCTGCTTCCACGCTGGCCCAACCATTGGCATGGCGCATGGAGAGTTCCTTTATCAGGATTTAATCTTTGGGACCACTTGCCGTTCTCACAATGCAGAATTGTCCGATTGATGGCGGCTCTTCGGTGGCCAACGTGTTCCTGCGGCTCGGGGAACAAACAATACCCCGACAGCGACAAGGGCATGGGTTCTTGCGAATCCTGTCACTTGAGAATCATAATTCAGAGCATAAAGTCAGCACAGAGAAACATATGTGCGGAGTCGTGCACAGAGTACAATATCAAGCATGTTCATACGACAATCCGCCTGGCAAGGTCTCCCATGTCTCCGGCCTGAGAAGCCCGACGTTCGATGACAAAAAATTCGCAGCGTGTCGGCCATCAGCGATGCCATGCTTCAGGTTGATTTGTGTGTATGACTGAGCATGCAGGCTCGGAACAATCTTGGAATGGTCTTGAAGCGGGTCCCTCGCGTGGCGGAAGCAAGCATCCTTCCAATATGTTCGGGTTGTGGGATGTTCGTCCGCTCGTTTAACTATTCGCCTATTCGCCTGTGCTTTGAATTTGTGTGGAACAAGCTCAATTTTACCGAGGATTTCGTCCCACTAGCGAGCATCACGATTAACATCATATTCTGGCTGGATCAAACTGCAAAAGACGAGGGTCCGGAACCGCCCTGCGAGGAATGCGACTCTGTCCCCGCAGCTGCGTTGGCCTTCCTATGGAATCACGGGGAAGTTTGGAAGTGGAGCGCGCTTGGCGATGACCAGGAGCGGGCGCTAAGCCTAAAGCACAGGTCCATCGGGCCGCCTTAGAGCCGAGAAGTCTCCCTCGGGATCTTCCCGACTGCCGGAACCACCAGAATGGCACTATGGCAGAGTGGTTATTGCGTGAGCCTTGAACCTCCCCAGACGGTGCAACCCCAGCTCATCCCTTCGGGGTCAGCGGTTCGAATCCGCTTGGTGTCGTGGTTTTTATCCTTTTATCTTTTTACCTTCACGGGAAGCACCAGATATTTTGACGTAGTGGAATAAAACCCTCTCACTATTTCCTTTCCGTTCTGTCCCATCATTTGGGCCCTCAGGAGTTAATAAACTCACCGCCACCAGAGACAATTCGACGCCCTTCGGGATTTGGGCCCCGTTAGTTCCATCAGCGAAGAATGCGCGCTTTATCACAACCCATAGTTACCTGCTTTTCTCTTCCTTGCCGCCACATGCGGACAGATTCTCAAACCTCTTCGTCCAATCCGGTCAAAGTCTTCAGTGGGTCGATTTCGCAAGGCCAGAAAGGCCAGCACTTCACCCCGCTTTTAGCCCCTCTGCAAGCGATGCGATGCAAACGGCGATATTCCTTACTCCGTACGGAGTGTAAGTTCCCAGATCGATTGTCGGAAACGGCACATGAGCCTTTTAAGTGGGTTCTCTACGAAGACGTTGTATTATCTACAAGAATGATAGCTTCCTGGAAGGGTTCCAGAAGACGGGGTTGTACTCTGTATAGAAAACCAATGGTTTAAGAGAGCGGTTCACAGTGCTTATTACGGAGTACATCTGCGACCATGCGGACTTTACAAGGAACCGAGGGCTAAAATTAACAAAGACTTTTGTTATGGCAAGCAGGCAAACCACCGGAACCCCTAGGATTTAGATAATTTGACCCGGTCTTTTATTTAATATACAGTGCATAGCCATCTCATTTCTTTCTCCCTTTCTTCTCCTCAAATTAACGGTACGGTGGATTCACGGTATCCCGGGATTCGATGGAGATGCATGTGGGACCCAAAAAAACGGGGAAATCAAACGTTCACACATTTCGAGGTACGGAGTAGTTGCACGCGCAACCTTAAAACCTAAATTCCAGAAACATAGCCGAGAGGCCAGGCAAAAAATCTTTCAGGACCATGCCATTTGGATATCTTTTTGTAGAGATAGGATTCAATGATTCCGAAAACTGGGAGGGTATCAAACTGATCATTAGGAAACATTAACTAACAATATTACGATCATATTGGTGACAGTATTTTTTATAGTCGTCATTTGTAGAAAAGACCACGGAGGAAATATAGGTAGCGAAGCGGGAAGAACGTCGTTAGCCGGGGAGTATCCTCTCAGTGCGGATCTACAGATCACTTGGTTAGCCAGACGTCTTCAATTTTGGTGCACATTTTACGTTGGCCAAAATACCTGATGTTGCGTGGTGACCAGCACTCCATCCTTGGGAGCCAGGCTCTCTCGCGATGAAGAGGTATCCGGACCCCCGTATACGGTTGTTACGTGTCGGGTGTTGTTCGGACTATAGGGCTGCATTTGGATAGAATGAAACTTGCGACTGTTGGCCCACCCGGTATTGCTAGTGGTATAAGCGCCAGCGCCTGTAGGTCTGGAAGTCCTCCGTACGAATCGTAAAGATGGTAGAGAACCAACGATTATTGCTACCGGAATCTCTTTTAGCGATGCAAAGTGAAACTTTGTGAAAAGAATGAAAGTCTGGAAGACTCAGGAGACAAGCTCCGATGGAGTAACGGGGAAGTATTTACCAGTTGTCGACTCAACCGAACCCCAAAGAGCTAGCCATAAGGCGTTGGGGTTTGTAACTCTGGTCTTTGAGGTAATCTGGACCAGGCGAATAGTCGCAGTGATGGTACAAAATATACCGACGGAAAATAGAGCGCCAACAGCCAGTTTTCGTCTTGAAGACATCTGTAGTCCCCATATGAGCCGTAAGGGAAGAACCATAACTAGTTTATGGGGCCAATCAGTATTTTATAGTACCGGGATAAGGAAATCAAATTCGGAGAGATCGCTCACTTAGTAGGTCGGTCGAGACATCAGATGCGAAGGAACCAAAAAAATTGAGATTTCGCGTGATATTATCAACAGGGCTTGAACAAAACGCTTCATCGCAAAACTGTGTCAGTGAATGTCAAGTCATCATCCATAAACCAGTAGACTTACTGCGCAGGTCCTTTTGGAGATTTGAAATTCCACCACAGGCAGTGAGTGTGGTAATGAAGGAGAAGAGAAATGTGATGACCGTATAGACCAGAACAACCAGCCAAACCTTGAGCTGGCGTGGTAGCCCGATCATCAAGCGACGGTAGAGTACAAGAAGACCAAATTTGACAGACCAGAGCAGAAAAAGAAATATCAAATTGTTCACAAAAAGGAGAAGTATGAATCTTTCTTTATCTTGAAGGGCGGTCGGGTACTTCTCTATGAGACCGAGATTGACGGCATTCAGACGATAGAATAGAGGCATTGACACAAGCAGCATAATCTCGTACACCAGGTAGAAGACGAAAGCGCTGAGCATGAAGACACACTCCAGCTCCCTTAGTCGGTTGTGCTTCCATCGTACAAATATAGCCAGTAGGTAGATGAGTGTCGCGACGCAAGTGAGAACAAGGACCACGGTGACGAGCTTCGGTTGTTCGATGATTATATCGTACTGCGCAGGAGTGTTGTTTCCCGAGAAAGTCTTATTATTGGCCATATTCGTGGACATTTGCTCAACGTCCATTCCAGTCCTCCTTCCTCGAGAGTCCCAACGACCGAGTACCACAGAGCTTCTCAGATTTCTTCAGACATCGCGCTAATCCTATAACAACAGACCCAGTCTCCGGTCGTGCGAGAGTGACAATGAAAGTGGTCCTCTGGAGCCGACCGAACCACAAAACTGGGACTCTCGTCTTGCAGTTATATATACGAAAGGTCGCTGTCGCGCTTCGATGCGGGGAGAATGGGTCAAGTGTGAACTGAAAAGGGCAAAGATTGAACTGAGTCTGGAGCCCGTCAAAAGAAAAAATGGATAAATTGCCACGAGAAAGCCATCGCCAAACTCCCTTCAGACAGGATCTGCGTTTCGGTTGGCTGTCATAAGGATTTGATCCGCGTTAGTCGTCATCGCAACAGAAGGGACTGGGGTACTAGCGAATTCGCGAGGCGAGTTGGCGCTTTTGGAGGCTCAACGCTAACAGGGATCACCACTTTGTTTTGTTGCAGGCCCTCCCTTGAATTGGTTGGCGCTGTTGCACCTCCCTTTCGGTTCACCAGCGTGGAAGCGAAGATGGGAGGTCCTCAACGCTCTCCCGGCTTTTGAAAACTCCACTAATGCAAGCCTGGAAAGGCGAATGGAATTTTTTTTTTGAACAAACCCAGGGTCTGGCTTTTTCTGGATTCTCGGGCAGTGTACTCCGTACGGAGTAATCCATAATCAGAAGTCCTCTTTTCTCCAGACACTAATCCTTTGAGTTTCAAAGGGTTGTCTGCAGAGAAGAACAGGATTGGCAGACAAGGTTTGGCATCGTGCGGATTTCTTGCTTTCCCACACGAACGGACTGGGGCTTTTAGTTCACTGGTTTGACTTGTTAACGTCTTTCGGCCTTTAACTGCTCTGCTTGGTGGCTTTCATTGACTTTGCTTGGAAGAGCTTGATCTGATCAGTTGCAAATCCTGAGTTTTCTTTTAAATCGCTTTGTTGCTTGAGTTGATGGCCCGACATTCTTGAGTTAGTTCACTCATCGCCCAGCAAAAGCCGCAGGAAAAACACTGGCGTTGAGAGCTGGCGATTAAGATTGGTATAGTTTGAAGCTAGGCAGGCCTCGGAAATCACGGAATCACGAGCGCAACTCCCGATAAATGCCTGCAAAGCATAGGAGCCCAGCAGGCACATGACTGCATCGCAGCTGTGCTCCCCCAGCCCCTAGCAATTGTTGCATTTCCCCACCACTGATAACAACCATGGTTTCCCCCTTCGCCCTGGTGAGGACAAGAGATAAAATCCATTGTGGCACCCAAAGAGACCAATTTAACCAGGGCACCCGGCACCATGAGCAAGGTTGTGATCCTCAGCTGGACTGCCCTGGCAAACATTACCTGAAGCTCGGCTTTCGAAACTGTATTTAAAAAGGACAGTTTCATTTTATACTCACATCATCCTGTTGACAACAGCATTATTCACTAGCTATGCGAACTGCTAGTTCAAGCTCTGACGGCTTGAGTCTGCTCTGTCCATATCTGATGCTTGAGGCATGCCTTGGCGATATGTGTTGATTGAGCAATGCAGTGAATAGGGTGCAAATGAGATTTCAATTGACCCAACCCACTCTTCAAGCTGCGATCTCAAAGTCATACCTTCATGATCCTGCTCACTGCTCTCCCCGATAGAGCCTGCTTCCTGAGGTTTAGGGTTAGAATAGGCTGAATACTCACCCGCAGAGTCCAGAAATCGATTCCAATTTCATTTGTGATAACAAGCGGAGGATGCCCTAAATTTTGGCACATCCCCACTTCTCCAGCCTAAAAAGGGGCCGCAATTGTTGGTGTTGGAGTCCTGACTTTTTGATTGATTTTTGTCTCTCGACCTGAATTTATCGTCGTTAAAGGCTCGCCACCATATTTCACTTTGCCGCTACCCTCAAATTATGATAATCCAAGATGCCAGCCACAGATGGCAAGCGTGTTTAAATAAATTCAGCAACTCTATAGAGGTGCCGACGTTCGAACACGAATGCTTAATTCAGGAGCGTGAATTCCAATATATGGCCCGCTCCGTTGCGTGGTTTGCGAAAGACTTGGGAATTGGACTTAATTCACTTGATTGAATGGATATTGCTGGATGATACTTGCTCATGAAAGGATTCCCTTTCCTTCTTTCCATACGGAATACGGAGTACAGCTAGCTCCTCTCCCGTTGCGGGTCTGAGATTAGCCTTACTGGTTCATTCCTAGGCCCGGCACCGTTCTTCCTCATTGTTAGCTTCAACAGCGTAGTGGAGGTTTGCTCTGCAACAACATCTCCAAAGATCGGGACTTGTGCGATCTTGCGCATTTTACGGAGTACATCACGGCATATCAAGTTGACACCGAGTAACTAGGTCATGGGGTAATCAGTCAATCCCGCTGTATACATGGTGAATTAGGCAAGCTTGGGTCAACCATCCTGCAAACAAAAAGCCATAAAAGCCCACGCTCCTGATTGCCATAAATCATTTCGAGTGTTATCTTGTTCACGGCGCGAGATGTGGAGACACTAATTTCCACGACCGGGGCTAGCTATGTCCTGTTAGCAACGAGAACTTCCCAATTTTGAGGTGCAAATCGAAGAGGAGAAAGCGAGACCCTATGTGCACAAGTGTTCTCCGGATGAGGCGATGGACGTTGATCTCTACGATACAGTTGCGTGTTTTGGGACATGGGAATCGAATATTCATTCGCCATTTGCTGCGAATGTTCGTATTTGCGAAGGGGGCCCTGGGCGAAAACGTTCTTTGAACTCTTGGTGGTCTTTTGACGGCGTGGTTACCCCCTGACTGTAACGACGTGGAATTGTCGAGTTTTCACAAGGATCAAGGTTCATATAACCTTTCCGTCGATCTTCCCGAATTCCTTGCTGAAGGGTGAAGTAACTCCGGAAAGCATCGGCGATCACACCATTCTTCCCTTGTAGGCAAGATCTCAAGATATTATTTCGATCATGATTCCCGGAGATCTGGGGCAAAGGCACAAGCCAGAGTTATTTCCACGCGATAAATCCTTTGGAAATTAAAAGGGCTGAAACCCGCACGGGGGACTGAGTATGATGCTCCTACACAAATCCCGGCTGATTCCCTCAATCGTCAATGTCCCAGTTTCTTCGCTGCATGCGGGGAGGAGGCCTGCCCAGAAACGATCCGTCGGTGTATGTCTCGTGGAGTCTTTGATTTATGCTTCTGCTCACGCCTTTGGCGTGTCCTCCAGGGTCGGTCTCTCGAGAGCCCTGGCTTTGATCTTCCTGTCTAGACTGATAGTCATGTTCGGACGAAACTGGAAAGCGTTCTTGAAGAGTACATTTTGTTCTGCAATAGAGCTTTGGGAATGTGGTCCCCTTCTGTCTCCCAGCGGCTGCCTGCTGGGACCAAGAGGCATTGAAATAGTATCAGAATCGAATATGCGGCCTTATCGAAAGAGGAGCCGTCTTCTCATTTTGGCTGGAGGCTGCTTTTGACCAAATGTTGAGTCTTACCCAAGACCCCGACTACGATTCGGATTTTCCTTCGGCATGCTGTATCAATCTATCCTCGTCCATAACGGTCCCAATATATCAATGTAGATAGCTGTGGCGGCTCTGGAAACGTGGGCGACTCGGCTTCACATTCTGTTGCTTTGCTGGTCCTGCTGCTATTGCATCCCGTACGAGGCCAAATCTTCGATGCAGGAAAAGACACCGGAATTTAATTCGAGGATAGGCATTGCGTACGAATTAAGTCTGATGCGGTGAGCTTGCCCTCCGCCAATAGCGGCCGGTTGTCCATTGAGGCGAACATGGAAGAGCAACACGGTCGGGAGTATCGAGTAAATGTTGATTGGTTGCAGTCCAGGCAGGATGGGCTCATGAGCCATGTTGGGAATTAGTTAGCTAACAACTCTGTACTCTGTACAGCGTATATCACTAACTTATCCATTCTCACAGCATGTTCAAACATGAATTCAAAAGTGTTGTGATGTAGAGATGATGGTGGATGCCCACAGAAATCAGTTCGCCGACAACAGGAAGCTCACGAATGTTATTTTTAGCTCAAACTTCAAAATTTAGCTCCCCCTGATCCAGAGCTGTCGAGGCCTCTTACGGAATATGAAAGCAAAGAAACCTGCATATTCAATACCAATTTTGGAATTGAGGGATTTTTTCCCCCAATTGTGCAGCACTGGCACTGCTCACTTGCTTAACTCGCAGCAATTCCTCATCTCATCCCTAGGAGAAACAACGCAAGGATGGGTATTATCGAGCGTGTTAAAGACCTCTATTCGAAAAAAGGTACGTCGAGTTACCTTCACCGGCCGCCGGCCCGTTGATTTTCGCTTTGCGGGGACTGATTGACCGGCATGAAGAACCCGAGCCGTTGATCTCGACCAATGTCGCTGTCATGCTTTCGGTAAGAAATTTCTTCGATAACCTATATATTGGTTTTTGAGCTTCCTTATATCTCTCTCTCGCTCTCCTCACTCTTCTCTCATGGCTTAGATAGCTGAATGACAACCAATCCTGGGATAATTCCTGGGAAACCTTTTCGCTCTTGAAAGCCCCAATATGGCCATTGGCTCTGCTTGCTGCTCCTCGGAAAAGTAATAAGCTGGCTTAAGCTGACTTGAACGTTTCAGATCGCTTGCACTCTGCTCTATGTTGTGCCTTTATACATGTCGAAGGCTAGCAGACCTTCTCCGACCTTGAGTAGAGATGCGCCTTCTGTTATCAAATATCGAGTCCGAGCGGTCATGACGGCGTGTTTCATATGCAGTCTCGGCACTCTATATCTGATTGTTTCTAAGGGACATACCACCTATCTAGAGGCACTCCGACTCCTTGGATGGTGGCCGCTTGGACCGCTAGAAATCGTTAAATCTTTGTTTCTTACAGCTATCCTCTTTTTGGGATTCTTATTCGAACGAGGAGTTGCGGAAGGCCAATGGAGAAACTGGATTCGATGGCAGTCACTTATTGAGCCTCTTACCGAGTGGGCTGGTTGGCGGAATTATGTCGCTGTATGTCTATCATAGAAAACTTTACTTCGCACAGCACTCATGCTTATCTTTTACAGGGCCCTATTACTGAAGAAGTAGTCTTCCGCTCGATCATTGTCGCGCTGCATTTGATGGCAAAGATCTCCCCAACAAGCATCGTGTTTGTTTCCCCGCTTTATTTTGGGATTGCACACGTTCATCACTTTTATGAATTCAAGTTAACCCACGCATATGCGCCTCTCGGAACGATGCTCTTCCGCACAGTATTTCAATTCGCCTACACGACGATTTTTGGTTGGTACGCTGCTTTTCTATATCTGCGTACTGGGTCGCTCTTCGCAGTCATTGCTGTCCACTCGTTTTGCAATTGCTGCGGATTACCTCGACTTTGGGGCCGTGTGCAAGTTGACATGCCAATTGAGCCTATTATTGTGAGAGGTAAGGAGGATGAGGAGTTTCCAGCGCAGCGGGTAGAGCAGAAGCAGCTTGGTATCGGGTGGACTGTTGCATACTATGTTATTTTGGTTGCCGGAGCTGTTGTATTCTGGAGCCAGCTTTGGCCATTGACCGAATCGCCTCTGGCGTTGGCGTCGTTTTGAGCTGGATGTCAGAGCCTTGAATAGCAAATGACAAAGTTGCTTACACCGTAGTGAGAATATAATTATACTCTTTTCCGTCGTACTCCGTGCAGATATTCGCATTGAGAAAGGGAAAAAAAAAAAAAAAAAAAAAAAAAAAAAAAAAAAAAAAAAAGGAGAGTCAGGGCCCTGGAGCGTAATCCGCAGCACTGAGATCCTCAACTCCGATATCTCCGAGCGGCCGCAGTAACCTTAATTTTATATGATCTTCGGCCGTGAGCCCGCGCCGTCGTTCAAAAAAAAAAAAAAAAAAAAAAAAAAAGAATTCCTTTGATATTCAAAGGCCACTTTGTCCCGTTTATTATTTTATTATTTTGTTCTTCTTTTGACATTGATATTCTCCATGATTTTTGACAACCTGATACGCTGAATTGCAGTTAACACGCGTCATAAGCCCCGGCGATTCCCCCAAGCCATGGCTGCCGTAACTTTCCTCAGATCCCGTGTACCCGTCTCCTCAATCCCTTTCGCCCAATGCGCTTCCTACTCTACTTCTCGCCGCATAAAAATTCCACCACCGTTCCCCGTCACGCCTTCTTGCCCGGAACCAACATGCGCGTGTGCAGAGATGCCCAAGGGGCTTGATATCGACCACTCTCAGGATCTCAATGGAACAATGGTAGCACATTCACAACAGGTTGTGATTGCAACGGGGCAGACGGACTGGAGAAGTCGGATCGAAGAGGATGGACAGGATCAGGGATGGGGACTATTAGCGAACGGGCTAAAGAGGCTAGTCAGTAGGGGCGGAAAATACTCTGATGTAGGTTGCAACGAGCTCGGAATAGAATGGCGGTTGGGATGACTGACATCGTTCACGGGAAAGAGTAGCCATATAATGGTGTTTTGATTACGAATTCCTCCTTTACGCCCCAGTGCGATCCGGCCTCCGAAACGAAGACCGCGTCTGCATTCTTATTTCCTAGCTTTAGATATATACCGAAGGTACCTATCGACGAAGATGGTCTAGAGAGATTTACAAAAGCGTTTTTACTACCGCTCGAGGTGCATCAAGCACACAATATCCTACCAGCGGAGAAGCGAGAGGTCATGAAACGAAAAACAGAGCTTCAATTGTCGTTTCCGGATGCGGTTGAATTAAAGCACTCTCCGACAATCTTCATCTGTGGCCATGGAAATAGAGATCGGCGATGTGGGATAATGGGTCCCCTTCTTCAAGCTGAATTTCGCCGTGTGTTGCAACATGAAGGCTTCTCAGTCAGCGTTGATAAAGTCGACGGCGTGCGACATGCAAATGTGGAGTTGATCAGTCATATTGGCGGTCATAAATATGCCGGAAACGTGATTATATATCTTCCATCTTCTATCAACTCAGCATCAGATTTACCACATCCATTGGCCGGAAAGGGCGTTTGGTATGGGAGGGTTGAGCCGAAACATGTTGAGGGAATTGTGAAAGAGACAATACTGAAGGGCCGTGTTGTTAGAGATCATTTCCGAGGTGGCACTGAAGAGGCCGGGATTCTGAGGTTATGATTGCATGATAGTTAATAATTATTGATAGACAGCGATGCATTTAGCCTTTAGATAGGAGCATTCTACTTATTCTCCCTGCAAGATGGATTAGGTGGACTTCATATTCAGGCTCATCCACCTATCTTATCGATCAGATAAGATAAGATCAATCAGCACTAGACCGTTATTGGATTAGCTCGATTGGCCGTACTTTCGTTGAATTCGAAGCTTCAGCAGTTCAAAGCCAAAACGGTCTCCCGGCATATGTGCTTTGGCTTCGGGGTTGAAAGATGAGGAGGAGCAAAAATGCGACTCCAATTAATGCTGGGACGAGCCGTCCTACCCCACAGGCCGACTGCCATTAGCTTGACTGCCCACCTCCGATCTCCTCGAATCCTCCTCCGAGCTGCGTCCACCACTCCGATCCGAAAACTCGACCTCCTCGCGATAGACAAGAAGTGGAAAGGAAAATGGGAATTTCACAAGTGTCAGAATTCCAGCTCCGCGTCCGCAGAGAAAGCCTATGTTCTCCCCATGTTCCCGTACCCTTCGGGGACTCTACATATGGGCCATGTCCGTGTGTATACAATATCCGATGTCCTAGCACGATTCAAGCGGATGAAGGGATACGATGTGCTCCATCCAATGGGTTGGGATGCATTTGGGCTGCCTGCCGAAAATGCGGCAATAGAGAGGGGCATTAATCCGGCGACATGGACAAAGGAAAATATTGCAAAGATGAAAGAACAATTGAAAGGGTTGGGGACGGATTTTGATTGGGATAGGGTATGCGATTATATACCTTGAGAGAATATTATATGGAGATAGAGCTGCGTGTGAAGAGAGTGCTGATTGGTGTGGCTAGTAGGAGTTTATGACCTGTTCCCCTGAATTTTATAAGCATACTCAACGGCTATTCTTGATGCTTCATGAGAAAGGATTGGCATACCAGGCGAAAGCAATGGTCAATTATGACCCTGTCGATCAGACCGTGTTGGCGAACGAGCAGGTACCTTCATCCACATCAACAATTGGTATGGCGATGTTCTCTGACAACACCTGGAACAGGTCGACGCAAATGGGCGCTCATGGCGGTCTGGAGCTGTGGTCGAAAAACGCGAATTGAAGCAGTGGTTCTTCCGGATAACTGCGTTTAAGGAGGCCCTGCTTAAAGATCTTGATTCACTGGCGAGCGGGTGGCCGGACCGCATTCTGTCCATGCAGCGGCATTGGCTCGGAAAGTCAGTTGGCGCGCGGCTAACATTCAAGATAATTACTCCCAAAGAGAAATTGAATGTTCAGGTGTTTACCACGCGTGCAGATACTCTACCTGGTGCCCAATATGTTGCCTTATCTCTGAACCACCCATTGGTGACACAGCTAGCACACACAGACTCAAAACTCAAAGCTTTTGTTAACTCTGCCAGTCTACTTCCTCCAGATACAAAGGTAGGATACCGTCTGCCTAGTGTGGAGGCTGTGAACCCTCTTCATGCCATTGAAGAAAACCCGAACATCCCAGCAGAACTTCCGGTCTTTGTAGCCCCATATGTTCTCGGGGATTATGGAGAGGGTGCAGTTATGGGTGTTCCCGGACATGATTCTCGAGACTTTGCCTTTTGGGCTGAGAATATGCCGTCTACGCCAGTTATCTCGGTTATTGAGCCAAATTTACGCAATGGCTTTTCTAACAAAGACGATATCCAGAGAGCAGAAGCATTCCTTGGAGGAGGAGTTCTCAATAGTACGTGCGGGAAATTCACCGGGATTTCATCGAATAAGGCCAGAGAAGAAATTGTCTCGAGCCTTCGGGATCATAACAGCTCGGCCGATTTTACTGAAAGCTGGAGACTACGGGATTGGTTAATAAGCCGGCAACGTTATTGGGGTGCACCGATTCCTATCATTCACTGCGGTGATTGTGGTGCAGTTCCCGTTCCTGTTGACCAACTTCCCGTGGAATTACCCACCATTGACGGGGCCGGATTGAAAGGCAAAGCTGGCAATCCACTTGAATCAGCTGAAGACTGGCTGAATACGCCTTGTCCAAACTGTAACAAGCCAGCCAAGAGGGAAACTGACACTATGGATACTTTTGTTGACTCATCATGGTACTTCTTACGATTCCTTGATCCATCAAATGAATTAATGCCATTCTCCCCCGCTCTGGCGAGACCGGTTGATACATATATTGGCGGCATTGAACATGCAATTTTACATCTCCTTTACTCTCGATTTATCTACAAATTCCTCGCTGAGTCTGGATTAATACCCGGTGGCCATCGAGCAAAATCTGATACGGCAGAGCCTTTCCTTACTCTACTCTCTCAAGGAATGGTGCACGGCAAGACATATACTGATCCTGCCACCGGCCGTTTCCTTCGTCCATCAGAGGTTGATCTCTCTGTTCCTGGTTCACCGGTACTAACCGGGACCAAGGTCAAACCAAATATCTCCTTTGAGAAGATGTCAAAAAGTAAATATAACGGTGTTGATCCAAGTACATGCATCGAAAAATATGGTGCGGACGCAACGAGGGCACATATTCTCTTCGCCGCGCCAGTCAGCGAGATTCTCGAATGGGATGAGACTAAAATTGTGGGAATTCAGAGATGGTTTAGTCGATTATGGAAGATCATTTCCGACTCAGAAAAGTCCTTGATATTCGCCGAACTTGGTTTAAGCCGGGAAAATATCCGTTCTGCTGATAATCTTGCTCTACCACCTCTGGATGAGCTATCTGATGACGAAGCTAATCTTCTCCTTATCGCACATTCGACAATCACTTCCGTCTCAAGCTGCATGGAAAAGAACCCTTACGCCCTTAACACAGTTATATCTGACTTAATCAAGTTCACAAACGCAATAACTTCCTCCGCACTGCCCTCATCTCCATCGTCCCCAGCTTCAAAGACAGTATTATACATGCTCGTCTCTTCTCTCCTCAAACTTCTAGCACCCATCGCACCAGCGTTTTCCTCGGAGTGCTGGGAACAACTCCACACCTCTCTTCTCAGCAAGAACGAAAATGACCAGTCGCTATCAATATTCTCTTCACCCTGGCCCACGCCACTGTTAACAGAGCCACAGGTCGAATCGCTCCAGCACCGTGGTTCAAAGACAGTAGCAGTACAGGTAAACGGAAAGCTCCGTTTCACGGCTACAATCCCTCGCTTCTCATCATCTGCCGTAGGCCCGGTCGAGCAATCAAATGGACAGTCCAAGCAACAGGGAAAGGTGGAACGAAATGGACCTATGAGTGAGGAGGAGCAATCCTGGATTATCTCTCATATACTTGAGACTGACAAAGGAAAGCTCTGGCTAACTGAAAGAAACCACTGGGAGAAGCGAAAGCGTGTTGTGGTTGTCGGTGGTGGAAAGGTTGTTAACGTTGTTTTCTAGGATGAGAAGGCGTCTCGATGAACGCTGGATATGAATTCCATCAATGTTAAACAGGACAGACCATCTCTCCTGGGTTTAGTTTATGTACTGTACATTATGTGTATATTAGAACCTTGCTTATATATCAATGACTGGACAAATAGATGCTACTTTTACTGGCTAATGTATAGTGACTGGGATACCGTACACTGAGGCCAGTTAAAGATTGTGTCAGAGTGTCAATAGCCATTCTAGACCATGTGAGTTACATATCAATCACTGAGAGACCTAGTATACAGGTAACAGCAGAACAACAGAGCCAACCACTTCCCACTGGTCAAATCACAGATGCTACCATTGTACGAAAACCAAAACCACAAAGAAGTGAAACAGATCTCAACTATAATAAAAATGCAATATAACCAAATAAAGCCCTTAAAAAAGCCGTGAACTGGAACGCCCAGCACCACTTATAATAAAAGGTCCATTCCCAAACCGGGTAGCAGAACTAAGGGAGTAGAAAATACCAAGGCCGTGGTTAAATAGACATGATGGCTCATATCCACGGAATTTGAGAATAAGTCTTGTCTGGTAACAACGAAAACCTTTCTGGTAGGGGCCAAGCGGAGTCATTTCTTCCCCTCCTCGGCACCGCCTGCGATGATTTGGGGTTAGAGGGGAGGCCGCCTTGCAATTTCGACCTACTTGAGTTGGTTTCGTAAGATGCGCGGAGGTCGGTGAGGCGTTGGGAGGCACGATTAGGCACCGACTCTAGGGCTAGTGGTGGAGGATCGAGAGTGCTATCGCTCCTCTCGTTGGTGGTATAAGTTGGAGCGGAAACGTCTTCAAGGCTCCACTTCAGCGAAGGAGGGTTAACTTGTAAAGGATGGATAGGGAGGGACGAATCTAGGGATGCGCTAGAACCATCTGTAGATGTCTTTTTAGGACCAGAGAATCGAGCTGATGTTAACGTCTCCGGGGGGTCAACTGGGATATGGGTGACTTTCGAGGAATTGTGTGCTTGCTGTGCTGGCAGCGGTACTGGGATACTACTTAGACATAGCCCAATTTGAACTGTTGCAGCACTTATATCTGAAGAACGCCGCCGGTGACTGAAATACGGTTGTGGTGGAAGGAGGATAAAGTCGTCGATATCGGTCATCGGTACGATGGATGACAATCCCGAGGATCGATCTCTCGAAGTGGTAGATAAAGAAAGGAAGCTTTCCCTACTTTGGATGCCGGCGGTTAGGCGCTCCATCGAACTGCGGCCATCAGGGAAAACTGCTTCAGGGATCGAATTTCTTCGTCGTCCTCGGTCAGGTTGCTCTGGCTCTCGGCGCTGGCCAAACCTGCCACTCGAGAAATCTCCGCGCTTCACGATGCTGTTATTTCGCTCAAGGCCAACTGGCATGATCATTTGTTGTGCGACAGCCATCTCAGTGGAATCAGTGTACCGCCTTGGGGGCTTCATAAACCAAACCGGGTTTGCGGATCTGGTAATCAGGTTCTGACCAGTTGCGCGCAGGAGAAGGAATAAGACACCATTCACGATCCCAAACAAATTTATCGCAATCGACATGATCATGGCCGCCGCATTCGTTGCATGGGATGTCGTTGCCTGTATCCAAAATGGCAAAGTGAACGCCTATAAATCTGTAAGTGTGCTGCGTTTATGGAGACTCACGGAAAGCGAAGATATATGGGGAAACTCACAAATATAGCGGAATTAACGAACAGGTAGTATACCTGATTGCGAGTGGCAATTCTTTGCTCAAAACACAGCTTTTCGGTTCGTCGGAGCCGGAACAATAACACTACGGCGTTGACAATGTAGAAGAGAATCAGACTCGAAGCCAATCCTGTCCCAATATCTGACCAAGGCTCAACCCACTGCGTCAGGTCCGCGGTGCATATGCTCATCGTCACAGGCCTGAGATATGACGGTATCCAAGTTAAGACCGAAAAAACAACCACGAGGATCCAGTTGACTGAAGCATAGCTTTTGCAAGGTGAGGCTGAACAGGCCGGGTTGAAACTCCTAATCGCAGCTTCGGAACTAAAGATTAAGATAGTGTATCCGACAAGCCAAGCAGCTACTCGTAAAGTTAGCTGAAACGAAAATTCGTGTCCAGAGAAGAAGTATTTACCAGTCCAGGTAATTTGAGAGTAGACGCTGCAGTTATTAGTGAGAACATCTTGGAGGTTCATGGTCTGCACCGATATGAAAATCGAGCCCTGCGTCATAGTAGCGAGAGCCAATGCGTTGGAGAATATATGAGCCGTTGGGATTTTCGTAAAAAAGTCGAGTTTTCTTAGATATATCAGTTCCATACCCCTGCTTTAGATGGAGGGAGGAGCACACCTTCGAGGCACTCTAAGGCTCGCTACTCTCCAGCTATCGTACAAAACGGTTACCACGACGGCAGCAGATGCAAAGACGTTGAAAGCCGCTGTGACAACGATAGAAATCCGACTCTGGATACTAAATTTAAGGAACAGAGTGTCGGCCAGAGTCGTCGCATTGCCAGCGAACTCGATCTTGCTCCTCTGTAATGCGTCGATTATTGTCTCGTCTATAGCCATTATTATTCAGAACCATGAGGATCCAAACACTGGCGATGAATGCGCAGAGGTCCTCCAGGGCATAACACTAATGCAGTTGGCGGTAGAGTGTAGAAGAGCGCTGGGGGGTAAAGAGTTCGGGCATGGTGGACAACTGCATCAACCAAAGAAACGCTGTCAATAATCCCGTTTTAATCACAGAAATCGCATCGTGAATGCAACAGCATGCGGAATAGGCGCAGTTCTTTCACTGTATGTTGAAAGGACAAATGGTTCCGGAAAGAGTTGAAGCAAGGAGAAAGAAAAGGATGGTTTCCAGAAACCACCTCGAAGAACATGAATATTGGTATATTTTTTTACTTCCATTGGCCCGACACTGTTCAAGCACTCAGAGTTTCAGTGGCAAAGCCAGAGCATTGAGAGGGATCTAGTTCACGAAAGTGGCTCAAAGTTCATCGAGTACTCCATGAAGATATGATACAGTGCCCCATCTAGGCCACATTTGTCACCCAGTCCGATGAAATCCCAAGGACCAAGTCCCAGGAATCAATAGAGACCAAGGTCTTTAGCTGCCAAAGCCAACACATTAGGTAAACGATAGTCGAGGCCAAGGAAGCAGTGGCTTCTCCTGTTCTTGAGTTGGAACGGCTGAGTCCTCGAATGAGTAACAGGATCATGCAAGATGAAACCCGGGAGAGGAATTATTAGCCGTAAAAATAGCCTAATCCAGAACAGGCAACATGATTTTGAATTCTGTAACAATCTGACCTAAGATGACCCAGGAATGTGGAGTTCGACTGGCTGGCCATTGTCTGTCAGATGGTTTTCCGGCGAGAAGCTTTAGGTTCTCAAAAATCCCCGTTTTGTGGAATATATCCGAAGGATTGAAATCCTCCGAAAGAGCATTATAAAGAGGCTTTGCCACCATGTGAGGCTACTTTTCATATTGAGGAGCGCTTGGATGTGAGGGTGAAAGGGCAACAAGGATGTGTGATGGCCATCAGTTATTTGCGGCCCCATTTCCACCTCCCGCTACTTTCTTGATGTTCGTGTTATATCCCCCCATAATGTTCAATTTCGCAGATTCCACGGAGCTGGCGTATAGCTGTGGCCCTTAATTTAAAGTAGGCAACGAACGTGCCCAAAATGCGGCACTCAGCGCCACCCTCCTCACTTTATCCAATAGTGAAACCGCCCGAGGGTCCATATCAGCAGTGGCAACAACCATAGCTGCAGGCAAACACGCAATGCAAAAAAAAAAAAAAAAAAAAAAGAAAAAGGGGGGGGGAGGGAGAGAGGAAGAAAAGTAGTTTTCGTATCATGGGATCCCGAAAGACTTTGACCCAGACTGGACGTACCCCAAAAGCCCAGAATCGTCTCTCTTTCAAAGAGAACGAAAGCTGTCCAAAACGCGGGGTAATATAATCGAGGGATGATACAAATAAAAAAAAAAAAAAAACAGGGGACGCCGTCAAAGGGCATGTAGTTCATTAACAGGTGCATATCTTGGGCCGCCCGTTCAGACGTCACTTTCAGCACGGTCCTGTGCACTATCCATGTTGCCATCTCCCTGTCTCACTCAGGATGTATCGAAAGGGATATTATTCTTGAATTGGCTGGTTTAAACCGCGGATTTTTGATTGACACAACGGCAGTTTCATCTCTCAGGAACGCGGTGACGTTGACGCACGGATACCCGAACGGGAAATTGAGTCATGTGACTGAAGTGTGGCTGGAGGTCGTTCCTTGGCGGAAAGTCGACGTTGTAGCAGAGCCGCTTCGAGAAACGACTACTTGGCAAATTGGCAGCTCACATGAGGTTGACCAGACTTTGCATTCGAGAATTCATTTCCAATACAGATTCGCCCGCTGGATAAGTTCCTTCTGGGCATGATAAGTGCAGCAAGGGCTGTGCACCAGACCAAATTCGGCCAACGTCGACATGAAAGGGAATCTCAGGGGGCGACGGAGTTATGGAAATGCTCCTGGCCGATGTCGCCAAATTCTATAGATAACCACCCTGTGGTAAGAGTTGTACAGAGTCCAGATCACCGACAGCACACGTTCCGGTGGCACTATAGCTGTGATCGAGTACCCACAGGACAGCAGCCCGTGCAAATGCTTTCCGCCTTCTGGATGAGTAATTTTCGTGCATGATACATTTTCAGGTGCAGGAAACACACTGAAAACATGAACAAATCGGTAGTAGTCCCTGCGGAGAGAACAAGAGGCCAACAGAAGGCAACACTGCAAGTCGACTGCCCATAACCTTCCTGGCTACACTATTTATCAGGTCCTATCATTCAACGTATGCTTCACATGCAGGGTGGACGCGAAAGGGAGGGACCGGACCAAGGCCCACAAGTCCAGCTTGATCGTGTAGAATTGATTCGGCACTGCTGCGGCCAGGATCAATTTCAGGGTAGTCCAGGCTTGAGAATCGCTACCACCACTTTTCGCACCTTTTCCAACACATCCCGAAACGCTTTGATCAATATCGTTCTTGAGCTCTTGGTGTTTGGCCAATAAATACCCTCAGATGGAATTCGCCACCGAAATTTCTCATCAGCTTGACCGGAAAAAACTTCGTCTCGTGTCATCCAAAACCAGACCATGGCCCATGGAGGTATAATTAATACACCGGGTGAAACGTTAAGGATAACTCGGAGATTAGGCGTGGACGGCCATTTTTTGTGCGTTCATATCTCCTCAAACTCTGCCAACTCCATTCGATAAGGCCCTCCGGGCCTTCTGGGCATGGTTTTCTCAATTCCAAGATATTTTTCTAAGGTGACTGGGATGCAAGATTGGATGGAATGAAGGTTCGTATGGAAAGATCTACGAGTAGTTGTTCGGAATTGGCCTGGGCCTCTTTCAATTCATTGCATTAATCATAATATCCTTATTCGGATGCTATCGTTAAGATACACCAGCCTTGCAGTCCATTGCAGCGAAACATCTCGTTATTTGCTTGCAACATTTGCCGAAGTCCTAAGCTCCTGCATTCTCCTAGTTCCGTTGCTCCTCCTGGATTTTCTTTCTCTGTCCGTAGGCCTTTGTGACATAGTCGCCCTGATGAACAATCAAATCTTCTTGTTTGTAATCGAACTTGCCGGAGAAGTACGATTCAAGGATGTCCTTCGTGCCCTGTGCATAGCGGATTTGTGCATCAATGGAAGTTCCAGACATGTGAGGGACCATGGCATTGCCGCCGCCCCATGGGCCCTGGACATAGCGTAGTGGGTGGTCTTTGGGAGCAGGTTGTGGGAACCAGACGTCACCGCCATATCCACGGAGATGGCCTGATTTTATAGCTTCTGCGACATCCTCCTTGACGACGATAGCCCCACGGGCGGTGTTTACAAGCCATGAGCCTATTACCCCTTAGTATCCTATACACCATGGTCTTCGAGAAAGCTGGGGATGAGAAAATGTAGCTTACCTTTCTTCATCTTAGAAATGAGTTCCTTGTTGAACAAGCCACGTGTCTTCTCGTGGAGAGGGCAGTTGATAGTGACAACATCACACTGTGCCAACATCTCCTCCAAGTTCTCAACACGACGGCATCCAATTTCCTTCTCGACCTCAGGGCTGAGGGGCTGGTAGTCATAATAAAGAAGCTCCTTGCAGTCGAAGGGCTTAAGACGGCGAAGCACACGCTCGCCAATGCGGCCAACAGCTACAGTTCCGACGACCTTACCCTCAAGGTCATACTCGTTTTTAGCAACGGCAGCAACGTCCCATTCACCGCTGGCAACTTGTTGATGGGCCGGGACGAAATTGCGGACGAGGACTAAGATGGTCATAACGACATGTTCGGCAACAGACACGACATTGCAGCCAGTGACTTCAGCGACAGTGACACCTCCGTTGGTCTTATTGGCGGCATTCAGGTCAACATGGTCGGAACCAACACCCGCTGTGATGGCAAGTTTGAGGTTCTTGGCCTTGGCCAGACGCTCTGCGGTGAGATAACCGGGATGGAACCTTCAAGCCAAAGTCCCGGGTCAGAAAAGTTGAAACTTAAAAATTCTCCACATGTTGCAGTGATAGGTCAACTTACGGTGTAGTGATGATGATCTCCGCATCAACAAGCTCGCGCTCAAAGGTAGAGTTCGATCCCTCCTTGTCAGATGTGGTTACCAAGGTGTGGCCTCTCTCCTCAAGCCATTTTCTTAATCCAAGCTCATTTTCTGTTGTTCCCAATAAACCAGGCTGCTGCTTCGCATGCTCCCCACCCTGCAAAGCAATGTTAGCACCCAGATTTGCATCTTAAACAGGCATTGAATTGCAATTGGACTACGAAGGCGGGGATGTGGAACGAGGAACTTACGTCATACATAACCATAAGAACTTTACCCTGTAATTTGGAGGTGGCAGTCAGTGTCCGGACGCTATTCAATTGTAAAGAAGACGATGCGGTCCATGATGAAGCAAAAGGAGAAGGACTTCGTAAGCTTCCTCGACTTGCGAGGAGAGAAGAGAGGGGGCGAGGAAGCCCTCGAGAAAGGGAGCGGATAATTACCATCTTGAAAGAAATGTAAAACAACAAGCAAGCTTTGTTAAGTTACTTGTGGATAGGAGGATGAGACTTGCTGGTCAGGGACGCTCCAAGCTTCTTATACTCGTGAACTATGAATGAGTATGAAGTTAGCAGAGGCTGGCCTGAGGCGAAATTAAGCCAAAATAAGGTAACATATCCCGCAGGCGAGGGGAAGGGGGCAGAGGAGCTGTCGGAGTTAGTTAGGGTGGGGAAGGCTTCTCCAACTCTGCAGCTAGCCTTACCTCAGCCAATGTAGGACTGATAATGGCGGTTGACCTTAAACTGAGATGGAGGAACGATGCCGTGAGAGGAGCGATGCAGAATCGATGAGAATGAAAGAGGAGAGAAAAAGGAGGAGAAAGATGGATGAACAGGCAGCTTCATCCGAGATATATATAGCCCAAAATCCTCCAACACCAGCCCCTTAGCTTCGTTTACCGGTGGAGAAACCGATTCAAATATAATTATCCACCCTTCTTCTAACATTAATCCGCATCCTGGGTGAGCTTAATAAACTGGATCCTGGGTGTAGAGGGCCATTGTATCACGCAACCCCACCGCTGAAGGTGGCATCAAGCGGGAAAACGCGCATGGAATCCCGCATCGATCGCAACTCATTGGAGAATGCAATTGATGGCACCCCTCCGGAATCAAAATGATTTCACCAATGAGGAGAATCGAAGCCTCGAATCCCATCATTCCGAGACATGGTTCTTGTCCAAGACTCTGGCTGATAACGACAATGCGTCCCTCTGCGGGGTTAACGAAGAGAATCGCCTTTCGAGATCCGGCCTGCAAACACCGTAGTTTGGGTACGGATCATAATGCTTGGAAACATCTTTTGGATGGAACAGAGCCCTACAGAGGTAGATTACATAGTATCTCTTCCCTATCGTGAACCTGCGTCATACTCTATATACCCCCGCGTCTTCCTCAGACTGCAGCGATGTTGAGCTTGTCGCACGATGATGGTAACTCGTTTTGCATATGTAACCCCGTTTGTCTTTCTCCAAGGGTGCGTGGCGTAACGGGACAGCTACTTTGGAAACAAGGTCGGCAATAACAGGCCGTGTGTTGCACATCTTCCTCACACAGGTAAGTGATATTCCGTGGAGGAGGAGTGAGTACCCCGCGCGAAGAGAAACACTCGTGAGGGGTAGAAGCAGCTGATGTAATGAGGGGTGTGAGGGTCAAAGCTGCGCGAAACCACCAATAAGCTTTGGCTCCAAGCCCAAACTTCCCCCGCTAGGCGGCGCAACTAACGAAAACAGACAAGCTACCTTTGTACTCCGCACTCCGTTCGCATCGTAAACCCGGTAGGGGGAAGGGCTGAATGCGAGCATACCAGCCTACAGAGGGCAAGGAGTACGTATCCCCATCACCCAAGATGCTTGGATTGGACGCATGTTCCGGCCCCCTTCGCTATCCATGGGAAGTAGGTAGAACTAGGGATGGATGCGGGGGTTTGATTGGAGACGAATCGCATTCTTGGGATGTTGACCCATCTTCTATTTGCTCCCGGAGCTCGATGGAATTGGGGGTTGGGATTTCCTTGGAGCATGTAACGGCTGAGGATATAAGCAGACAAAATTGATGGGCTCAAGGTTTAAATCGCAAACAAAAAAAAAAAAAAGGAAAAAAAGCCAGAAGAGGACAATATCATAAAGGTTTTTAACCAAACAGGGAGCTCAATCAATGACAACTTCGGCCCACCTGTGCCCTTTTTTTCTTTTTCTTTTTTGATCAAAGCTAACGAGATGGCTCAGGAACATAACTCTAATTGGTCTTTCGGGACATCAGCTCCCCTGGCCCAAATTGTGGGAGATTGTAGAAGCAACCCAGGGTGATGTAATGGCACTGACAATCCCATCGTTCTAGAAAAAGGAAAAACAATGATGGCCTTGCTATTGGTTGAGACGCAGCAAAGCTCAATAAGGGCTAGGAACGAACGGGTGTGGCACACTCTGCAGGAAAACTCATTGGCCACACATTCCCAGTATGAACGCAAACCCACAGGTTGAGCTCCAACCAAGCTTAGACAACCAAAATCTCGTCCGAACCAAAGGCTTGTAAAATAGACCGTCACAGGAAAGAAAAGGATGGTTGAGCGTCGGCTAGTTTGGGGAGGATGCGGACTCCGAGGACGATATTTCCAGGTCGCTCGCAACACAGTCCATGATCAAAGATTCTGGTATGCCATAAGCAACGGTGGTAATAACCACCCCCCCATAGGTGACTTACTGATGACTTTGTAGTGAAAAACAAAATGGCGCGCTTTCTCGTCCGGATCATCGACAGGTGATACTTGCTCATGTACCATGGGTGGATCGAATACTTCGAGCTCACCAACCTTGTAACTAACGCATTGGTCAGCCGTTAGCTTCGGACTAAGGCAATGAATAGATGCCATGAAATACAAACCATATCGCGCTCCCAGGGATCCCGGGGGTTAGCGTGGGCCCTGGATTTGTGACTGTTGCCTTCTTCGGTGGCATCGTACTATGGGAGACTCGGATAATTGTGACCGCCACTTTTCCCTGTGGATAGTCGACATCCGAGTAGTACCCTACGGGAACAGCGTGGAGCTCTATTACAATATATGAGCCTGCAAGCAATCAACAGAAAACATCATATGAAACGGAAAGGCCTACTTGCTGGAAGGTATGCGAAAGAAAAGTAAGCTTTCCTACACCCATCCTCGCAATTGACTACTGCGTTGTCGATATGTTTCGTCCACCATCCGTCTTCGTCCGCTTCCAATTCGGTGAACTTGACTGAATAATAATGGTTGACTGCCTTGCCATTATCCAGCTTCAAGGTGATATGGAGCCCGTCCCCAGCTGAGAAATCGAAGCTTGGTGCTATCCGCATACAGATAGAAAAGACTTGCCCAGGAGGGGCATTGACGCGTTTTTCAACCCGCATAGGGTCCTTGGCCCATGGGACTATATCGCTGTGGCAAGAATCATCGGCGCATACATCAGCCTCCTTGAGCGCCTTGTCAACACTAACAACTCTCACTTGAACTTCGACGCCGTCAAGTATGGCCATATTCACCACAGTGCTTGAGAAGGCCTTCAGCAAAAGAAACAAAGGTTGATGGGGAAGAATGGATGATGAGAGTTGGACAGGAAACTTGTTGTTGCCGGGGGATGTTGAGGGCCTAGATAGGTGGCCGATAACATAATCGTGGCACAAAAAAGAGAAAGCTACTTCATTTGAAAGCTTTCCAATTTTTCACGATATTTTCCTTCTGTACACCACTCCAGCATGAATAACAATCCTCACGTTCATCGGTTTCACTGGTTATTCCCATTGGCTGAACGAGTTTTGTCTGAACAAAAATTCATGCATTAACTGGGATACCACCCTTAAAGGAGTCCTATGTTTTCTAAGAGGGAAAGAGAGAGGTCTATACCATGCCCTTTTATTGTTAAGGTTCCTCATTCTATTCACAGGCAGCTGAGGAAAAGGAGGGGAAAAAATTTGAGGCGAGTCAAAGTGCTCTTGCTTGCAATCCAGATCTCAAAAGCTCAGAAACCGTGGAATAAGAATCGTGGTAACATTTGGCGACCGGGTATCAATAGTGTCAGCAGGTCTATGTAGGCGGGTGTTCATCCAGGTTGGGTTAACGTGTATGTTGCGTGGCTCCTCTATCATCGCCGACTTCATCGTCACTGTCATCCATGAAGCCTTCTTCTAGTTCTCGACTAAGTCGCCCTTCCGTGCCCATAGGGTCGTCTCTCTGTCTTTCAAGGGCCGCTCTGCGCGCAGCGTCCATTTCAAATCCAACCATCCCTTCGCCCTCTTCGTCTAACACGCTGCCAGAGTCATCTTGACCCTCAACAAACTGTCTTCTCCATGAGGAGGGAAGCACGAAGCGCATTAGGGCATCGGATGCACGGTCCCGAAGGGAGGATGTGTGGGCCGAGATTGTATGAAGAGGGAGATACTGGGCATATCTTTGCCGGTATCGTCGAACAAAAGGAATGACTGCATAGAACAATAGGATGTAAAGACCGAGGGAAATGAGGGCGGGAACGAAGAGGGTCTACATGGTTGGAGTCAGCAAATTGGTTCCGCTCCCATGTCCGGGCCAATTCAACAGGCTTTACCTTCACAACGCTCAAAGAAGACCCCATAGCTCAGCACATCTATGGCTTATTTCGTAAGCATGAGGGCGTTGAAAGGGAGTTTCTGTCCAGCCAAATGGCGGGTGCAACTTTCAAAAACACTTTTCCTTTCTTAAAAACCTCATAAGTGACATGTTATTGTGACTGGCAAGATTACCAGACAAGCATTTGCCCAGGGCATTGCTGTCTCAGCTCTGTGGTTGGAGCGTGAGACGGCCAGGGCTGTTGGCCTTCGGCGGTGGGGACCTCACGTGAAGCCGGGCGCTTAACCCTTTCTGGGCAGTCCCCCCCTTAGCTGCGATTCGCCCTGGAGATACTCATGCAGATTTACAATCTCTCGTTTGTGAAATGCCCAGAAGTGACTGCATTAATTATCCGTCTTTACAAAGTGCAGACACTGTCTGTGGTATAATACTAGACTTCACTTTTTTCCAGCGGGGTAGCTCAAGCGAGGAGCTGCGCTTCACAGTTCGACGAAGCTGCTTGCATATATAATAACTTTCGAGAATCATTTCCTTCTTCATGCGTCGCTGGCGCGAGGAGTCGGCATATTCCTTGCTTGGGAGTTAACTAGAGTTTGTTGCAGTTGCTTAAGCACGCGATAGGGGACACAATATCCCGGACCTTTGCTTAACCGGGAAAAGTGTATGCCAGAACGGAAACGACCGCCGCCAAAATCCCTTGCTCTGGCCGCGCTGGTCCCGATGTTGCTGGGATCTTAACCGCTCAGTTTTGCTGCATGACACGGTAGTTCCATCGAAATGCCTCGTCCTCCAACTCCTTCGGATAAGTCCAAACAGTCCTCGGCCAGCAAGTCGTTTTTCGGGAGAAAGCTACACAAAGACCGCGGTGCAGACTCGAGAGGGGAAGGGACATCAGACGCGTTCAGCGTTGCAGGGAGTGCCGCCGGATCACGCTCTTCCAGATACTCAAAACGCGACTCTCTATATGCGCTGGACCTTTCAAGTGAAGTGGAACCACCCTCCTCCGGAATAATCACCGCAATACCTTACGATAGCGTCCCCCCAAATGCAAAGTCGCCGATCCCGGTCGATTACCTCCCGAAATCCGAACCCCCAGCACGCAAAGATCCTCCAAAGAGCCCCTACGAATATCCTCAATATTCTCCACTGAACAATGCTCCAATGCAAACCAATTCTACTTATCTCTCCGGTCCCAGGCCACCCCCACATTCTAGCATGGGTTACTACGATAAACTGAGCAAAGCATACAACTACCCATATTCCACACCGGACTCGTCTGCCAATTCGCGAACTTCCTTAGACCAGACGAGTGTCTATTCCTCCGTATCGTCCACGACCAGGACCTCCACCCAAGACGCCTCTGGGCGCCTTCTCTCCACCGGCTATCCTAATGAACGATATCCTCCTTCGTCAAGCGGCAGCGGTTATCGAAATGTCGATCCCTATCAAAATAATTGGCCTACCTATACTACACCCCTTCAAATGGCACCAGATGGCTCGTTCCCGAGACCTAAAGACGATAGGGTTGTCGATCAGATGTTCTATGAGCTAATGATTAAACGAGGATGGCAGAATTTACCTGAGCAGGCGAAGAGACAGATGTTGGCGTATCCAACTTCCAAAAAATGGACGCTGGTACATCAGGATCGACTCACACAATGGCAAGGAGAACAGAAGCGCAGACAACACGCCCGGCAGACATATGGCTCGTTGGATGGACCCAGGGGTCTGCTTGATCGCGCAGATGAGGAGGGAAGCCCGGAATGGTATGTCAAGAAAGTTATGGATGATACAATTACTGCGAAAGAGCTCGGAAGTTTAAGCGTCAGCTTGCGAACGCAGCCCATAAGGTAAGCTTATTTTATGGTACCGCCCACTTCCGGAACCCTATAACTAACTTTCAGGGTCTAGCTGGGTCAAATCGTTCGTAGAAGCGCAAGGGCAGATTGCTTTGACAAGCGTCCTTCTTAAAATCAATCGGCGGAAGGCTTCAGGTCCAGCACCCCCCACTGCTCAGTCCGGCGACAAGGATCTAGATCGCGAATATGACATTGCGAAATGTTTGAAAGCCCTAATGAATAACAAATATGGTGCTGATGATGCGTTGGCGCACCAGCAAGTCATCGTTGCTTTGGCCAGCTCTTTAATATCTCCCCGCTTGACCACGCGCAAGATGGTTAGCGAAATCCTTACTTTCTTATGCCACTGGGCCGATGGCCAGGGTCATCTTAAGGTTTTACAGGCCATGGACTATGTTAAGAATTTGCAAGGTGAAACTGGTCGATTCGACGCTTGGATGCGGGTTGTCGAAGTCAGTATCGATGGACGAGGCAAAATGGGAAGTCTGGTGGGCGCCAGCGAGGAATTCAAGAGCGGTGGTGTAGGAATGGAGAACTTACTTATGGAATACGCCCTATCGACAATGTTCTTGATAAATATGCTTATCGATGCTCCCCAAGATGACTTGCAACTTCGCTGTCATATCAGGGCCCAGTTCACAGCATGCGGGATCAAACGACTTTTGGGAAAGATGGAAGGATTCCAGTACGACGCCATCGAAAAACAAATAGAACGTTATCGGGAAAACGAGGCTATTGACTACGAAGACCTCCTGCAACGAGAGAGTAGTAGTCTCAAAGACGGCATTGAAGGAGAAGTCGCTGACATGAATGACCCAGTCCAAATCACAAATGCAATTGTTGAAAGGTTGCGAGGAAGTCGTTCGCAGGACTTTTTCTTATCGGCCATGCAACACATGCTCCTTATAAGGGAAAATGCAGCGGAAGATGGGCAAAGGATGTTCCAGCTCGTTGACGCCATGTTGAGTTATGTTGCAATGGACAGGAGACTACCGGATATGGAACTGAAGCAGAGCCTTAATTTCACCGTTCAGAGTTTGCTGGATAAGCTACATACCGATTCCGAGGCCAGAAGGGCATTTGATGAATCCCTTGAAGCACGCCAAATTGCCGAAGCGGCGATCGCAGAACGAGATGCGATGAAAGCGCAGATCGAATTAGGAGCCGACGGGTTGGTTAAAAAATTACAAAAGCAAATTGAAGAACAGAATGGAGTAATGGACCTCCAAACCCGCCAAAATGAGTCCCTGAAGGCAGAGCTCGCGGAAGTCCAGCGGCTACGGGCTCAAGAGCTGCAACGCAACGAACTTGAAACTCGAGAACTATATCTGATGCTCCGTGACGCTCAAGACGTTGCTGCTTCCAAAGCACGCACTGGAAAAGATGGTATTGCTGAAATGGATGCTGCGCAAATGCAGGGCATATTAGACCGCGAAAAGCTCATGGAGCGCCTTGAGAAACAATTGGAACGAACGAAAACCCAGTTCAAGTTAGAAGGGAAAGTATGGCAGCAGAATGGACCGTCAGACCGATTGCGAGAATTGCGAGAGAGGATGGACAGTATGTACGCTGTAGACACTGAGCTCGACGAAGAGACCAGGCGCAAGTTCACGAATAGCACACTTGGGACGGTTTCACGGAAGAGGAGTCAAGCCGGGAAAGATTCTAGTGCTGAGGGTCAAATGGATAGCCAGCTTTCTGATGTTGAAGAAGGCGAAGAGATGGTCCAAGAAAAGGCACGCTTGATTGAAATCAAGCGCCCCCGGATGAACCCGGAGCAGGCCACAGGTCTCCTGAATGAACTCGCTTCAAAGGCTGAGAAAGTAGACCAAACGGACGAGGAGGAAGAAACGCCAAAGCCCGATTCCTCGCCCGCGCCAGAGAAACCGGCAGCAAAGCAAGAAGGATTCAATGGGCCGCCACCTCCGCCTCCGCCTCCGCTACCTGGATTTTCAGGTCCTCCGCCCCCTCCACCTCCACCTTTGCCAGGCTTCTCAGGAGGGCCACCTCCACCCCCGCCACCTCCCTTGCCCGGATTTTCCGGCGGTGCGCCTCCACCACCTCCACCACCTATGCCAGGAGCTCCAATACCCCCTCCTCCCGGCGCACCACCGTTGCCG